TCTCTCTTTAACATCTGCTTTTGAATTACCACTTTATTTAGTCGGTGGCCAATTCACATGCGAAAATCTCAACAAAGATATTCTTGGATAGAAAAACGTCACAATACATGCAGATTTCACACAAGTTGATTGTTTCGACAGGTGACTATTTTTTGAACCGCTAATTGCCGTCTCGGTACAATTGGTGCCGGGATCTTGTTTCTCCCTCTCACGATCACGCGAAGGTCGTTGATGATGGAGAGGATTACCGTTGGAGCGAGTCTCGTGGTCAGATGACCGCGACCCCATGTAGGAGAAATCTTCTCATCACGTCGAACATTGTCGTCCAGCCATGTCTTACCATATCATGCATTATACCGTCACAGAAGTTATCACGGCCCTTTTTGTGAATATCTCGCAGACTGGGATGTAGGCTGTTGCTCTGCTGAGTCTCGACTTTTTTTTTTTCCCTGACTCATGACCATCCTGGTTTTGTAGTGCAATCGCGGGGCCCATGCTAATGTGCAGATCACTGAGCCAGACCTTTTCGTCCAAATGCCTTCGGCAACAACACGGTGTCATTCACATCGACGTGCAACCTAATCCTGGGAGAAAATTGTTCTTGTACGAAGTCAATATCGTTGAATATCCAGTGGAAAGCATTAGTCTTTGCACCATGTAGTGCGGCGCACATCCAGCAGCTAGCGATGTATGTAGGAGAATCCGGAAAGGGAAAGCCCTATACACAATCCTTCGTACCCCTTGATCCGTTTTGAGCAAGCTTCAAACTGGACAAGATGACACTTTTCTACTTTTGAAAGGTCGAGATTGATCAAAGACGCCTCATCTCTTCCCTTGTCTCCATGTTCTCTCCTGCCATAATCAAAAATCCTTCCTGTTTGGCAGGGTCCTCGTACACCTTTGCGGGGAGGGTTTCGAGCAATCGAGGGTATTCCTGATTTTCTCGAATTTCCAACCAATGAAAATTTGGCCTTTTCTTACCCACCCTGGCCGACTAGACATTCTGCCCACGAGCCAATGAGAAGTCAAAAGTGGCCTTTCACCTCTTGGTTCACCTTGAGCCGTCTGCGACTAGCAAGGAGTCGTACCCTGGTCATATAGCAATGATAGGCTATAAACCGCCGATGCCCGCTTGCTGAACCTCGACTTAAGACTATTATGCTACCTTTTGTTCTCCATCATGGGGTCAGACCACCATCACTGACGGCCGACTGACGACGAAATTTTCTTCTACCCTCCCTTCTCTCCTCTCTCTCCTCTCCTCGCGTCTGGTCTCGTCTCGACCGGGAACTGTAGTCGTCTCCGCGCGGCATCCGTTTCCTTTGACGCGACTAGTTTGTGCTGCCAAAGCTGCCCGGGGGCACCAAATAAGCGCCCCCGGTAGTCGTTCGACTGAGTTTGCTACTATGTAATCAACCAGTCCATCTCGTTTCCCATTTTACTCAGTAGTACAGTACCTACTATATTGACGAGTACCACCATGCGGGTCGTTGGCGGGTCGGTTTCGAATAAGAGTCTGGCCCCAAGACAACTACTATTCCCATTCGTCTGGAAGCTGGACGAGCAACTTCCGAATTGTCGACAGCTTCGCAGGAACTAGAAACCACCTTGCAGCAAACATCGTCGCATTGCTCGAGCAAGCCCGTTTCGAGCCAATGCTAGGTCTAAGGGGCCAAACCGGCCAGACCGTACGGGGACCTTGACTCCTGCCGTAGGAGACTTTTATGCATTCCGTTCTCGATGACCTCGTTGGACAGCCGCCGTCCAACAAAGGACAGATTGCGCAGGTCGTCATCTTACTTAACCTCCACTCTTCCGATTGCATGGTCTCATGTCAGATCCAATGCGGTTGGGACTATGAGAAAGCACATGTGTGTTGTTGATCTAGTAGTAGCTGAAAAGAAAAGAATATTGTACCTAGACTACCTACCTGCCAACCGCCGTACCTACCTGCCTCAATGCAAGTCATCGAAATATCGTTCCCCCGGTATCGTACTGCATTAGTTAGCCTGCAGCTACGGCCTTCTATGACATGGGATAGCCGCTTTCGTTCTTTTCTTCTGGATGAGATGAGATGAACGCAAGGGCCTGCATCGATGATCACTACTGCTGCAAGGCCCTTACCAATTACCACCTACTCTGGGGTGACATTGTATAGAAATGGTTCGGGGCTTTTCTATCTTTCAGCTGCCATTTAGCCAACGGGATGGAATGACTGGTCCGCGGTGATGGATAGACAATTTATTGCAATGCCCATAAGAGTTTCAATCATTTCTCGGCGAACGAATCGCTTTTCACGGCCAAGGGGGGGTATCCCGGCCGACTACTGCCGGTAAGGTCATGTACGTCTAAAAGGAACCAAAGAGCGACCCTCCCACAAAAAAACTAATGTAGGTCTATAGTCTGCCTGGTGCCTACATGACTTTCACTCCATCTACAATCATGTAAGGCGTTTGCCAACCTGCATAAGCGTTGGCGACTCATTTTCCCTTCTCTCCCCCCCCTTTAGACCACTCTGGGCTTCAGGTCGTCAATAGTCATGCTCGGCGGCCCACCAACAACGTTTCCGGAGATGATGCTGTAAGAACGGGGAAAAACTTGATTAGATTTTGGAGACGAAATTTATCAAAGAAAGAGAGAGAGAGGCATGATGATGAAAGTGATGAGCGAAAGACTAGACGCAGCTACCAATGACATGACAGATAAAAGTGTTTCCAACTTTGATGGCTTGCAGAGGCGAGCGCACCCTCACAGACAAGCGATGGTGGAACAGTCCAGAAAAGACATGGAATGATATTGAATACGACTTCAAATTTTTTCAGGAGTGACTACTTATCATATATCACTTGTGCGCGGGCGTGCAGAGTGGCTCAAACAGTCGTGTTGCATCCCACACACGATTTCCCATGGTCATGGTGTCCATCATAGTTGAATAGAGAGAGATGTATGTTATTACTGTGTATGAATGACAAGCACCTCGACATCGGAGACGGCCTAGGTTCCCTGCAAGTGCCAGTGCGCCGGCCAGTTCCGGAGTGCCGGCAGGGCTAAAATAGTGATGGATGCAGGGAACAAGGACGGAAAAGAGAGGGAAAAGGTCACTCATGCTTTTTCACTTTTTTTTTCTTCCTTTTTCGACCAGTGAGCCTGGTACTAGAACTTAGTCTACGTATCGGGACCGTGGAGACTGGTCGGATTGCGATCTGATCCTTCATTGATACAAGTCCATTTCTGAAAGCTGAAAGATCAATCATGGAATGATGCTTCGTCTGTAACACGCCCGCAGCTCGGCCTTGAGTCCATACCCGACCCGACCTACTAAAAGAATTCAGTCGAGTACGTATGGAGGCGCAAGTTCTTGCTTTCTGGAATGTCCGCTGCAAGTTCTGAAAGAGGCCAATTGCTCGATTGCTTGCTACTACCTTGACCTAGATCAAATTGTGGGTTTGGTTAATGTAGCATCTGTCTGTCGGTCCATCCATCCATCTGTCCAACCATCCACCCAGCGCTGGAGGCTGTTTTTACTGGCATTGTACGACGACATCCATGGCGGAATATACCAGACCTGATGGCCGCTGCTGGGCGCATCATGTCCGGTGCTACCAGTAGTTAGTAGACCTACCTAAACCTGACCTCGGCAGGGCTGCCCCCCCGCTAGCGCTATAGGTGCCGAGTAGGCCGTTTTCTTTGTACAGGTACGAAGTTGGGTGGCGCGGACGCACTGGCCCATATGCATCTTTCAGCTCTCTCCCATCGGCAGCGTTGCTCCCATTTGTCCGTTTACTTCCAGCATATGCACGACGAGGACACAGCCCACTCGAGCGTGCGATGCTACTACACTAACTGCGCAGAGGAGGGAAGAGAAAAAAAAAATCAGGGCCACTTCTTTTTTTTGCCGCGCATGACCCCTCCAGGGGATCGGCCGACCTATGGACCTGTCGAGCAGTTAGTTAGTGCAGGCTTCCCTGGAGGTCAGGTTGGTAAATTCACCCCGTCAGTCAACTTCTGATGCTAGCTGATGGCGATGACGGGCGAATACCTAGTACACATGTTCGGGAGAGGCGAATGACAAGGAGTGCTGTGCGCGTCCCGGTCTCAAGGCAATGCATCAAGGTCCTATAATGAACGACAGATAGACTTTCAAGGATGACAAACAAATCAGAGGTGCAGTAAAGTGATGAGTGAGGGAGCGCAGCAAGTGACGGCGCAATCGTCCATGGATAATGGACGGCAAGATACTGTGAGATACTACATGCCATGGATACCTAGTATCTCAAGTGTCCGGTGGCTACCTAGGTAGATACCGTCCATCATCAATACCTGTCTACCTACCTACCTACCCTACTGGACTAGCCCGAGCTAGAATGGGAAGCGAGCGAGAGCGCAGGTCGGGGGCATGGCAGGACAGGACATACGCAGCCGATGACCCAGTACATGCCTACACCAACCAGTCTTGGGCTGGGTTGTTGCTTGGCTTGGTCCCATCATCCCATAGAGACACACACTAAAAGTGACCTGACATGGGGCCTCTCCATCAATCGCCCGGGTCGGAGCGGGAGAAGTGGGAAGAGCGCAAGTACCTAGCGTGTGAGTGGTGTGTGCTCACATTCAAGGCAAGAAGAGGGAGGATTATAACTCACCCCACCTCTCATCGCGGCTTCTTCTTGTCTTACCCTCCCTTTCTCTCTTCACGAGTACTTCGTCCTTCATTCTCTTCTTCTTATTTGCGGTTGCAAGGTGTGCAAGCTTAATACCCTGTCCTGGGGACCGCCTCGCTCCGTCATCACTTTTCTCTTATTATTCGTCTTTCCCGTCCATCCTCGTCACTCCCGGAAGCGCTCTCTCCACCAAAGCCTTCAAGGATTATTTCCTAGTCACTCTAGAGTTTCCCTCTCCCGACGAGTCTTCCTTCGTTCTGTTTCCTGTACTTGAAATTCCAAAAAGAGAGTTCAAAGAAAAAAGAGAGAGAAAGATCTTCCTACCCTAGGAAGGTGCCTGCGATGCCTGTTCAACTACTGCCAGCTTCCGCCGCGGCCTTTGCGCCGAGGGCTTCCTCTGTCAACGTCGTCCTGGGTTCAAAGGTCGAGCCATGGTTAACACAGACCCTTAAGCGCGTCAACAAGGTCAAGCGCCCTCTCAACAGCGTACCCCAGCACCAGAGATGCCTGACCGATATCCTGTCGTCGCCAAATGCCATCTGGACCCTGACCTCCATCATGCTGCCCAAGCTACCAGAAGCCGAGCTGCAGACGGACTCCAACCCATTGCTCGAGGCCATTCGCAACTTTCAACTGCTGCACATCGAAGCTTATATTGTACATGTGGATATGGTCCTGCGCAACGAGGTCGCTTACAAGCTCACCCCAGACTCGATCACGGCTCTCATCGAGTATCACAAGGAGGTTCACTGTGTTGATGCCAAGGCCGCAACCTATGACTGGTCGGAAAAGGACCAGCAAGCCAAGAAGCTGCACGAGGATTTTGTCCAGGCCATCAACAGGTTCGTCTTTCGGACGCACGTGTCTGCCCTCGAGGGTCTCGAAGAGGAGGGCGCCGGTGAGTTGCTTTGTGGAAAGAGCGAAGACGTCAAGAACAACATCCTGGCCCTAATGAAGCCGCTTCTGCCCCCGCCGCCCAGAATCGTCGACGTCGTCCGCCAGCCTCCTCTGCTGCCCAGCTCTCCAGCAGCCGCAAGCATATGGTCGCAGTCTACACCATCGCCAGCCGCGGTGCCTGCACCGGTAGACTCTTGGCGGGTACTTCCTTCGAGTCCCAGCGTCACGTCCACTTCATCGGATTCCACTCCCATCTGGGCAAACATGGCTATGAGCGAGGTCCAGATTCCGTCGCCCACGCCTCCCTTCAGTCAACCATATACTACCGCCGGCTTCTTCTACAGTTCGCCCATGGTGTCGGCCCCCATTCCGGCGCTGCCTCTACCCAGCATGCTGACAGCACACTGCGGTATCAATACTGGTTTTGGAGGATTCGGCTGGGATCGCTATCAAGAGTATGCTACAACAATGTGACAACCACCACCGACAAGAAAGAGATCTCGATCCCCGGTTGTCCCCCATTCTTGAAAAAAGACATCATGGACTTCCTCTACTCAGCTCCACAGGAAGCTTGTACAAAGCATATGGGCGTTTATTCGGCATCATCTCCATCACAGCGAACTCGATACCAGAACATCTCGGCATATAATATCCCAGGGTTTCTTTGTCTCAAATCTTTTTCGGATTTTCATTTTATAGCGAGCGAGCGTTTGATTTTCGGGACCTCTCACATCACCATCACCGCGAGCTCGGTCGCGAGGGTAATCCTTTCCATTACATCATGGTTGGAGCCTGGGAGGGCTTTTCTTTCTTTTCATTTGTTTTCTGGGTCGCATTTACAACAGGGCAGGTCTTTGAGATATAGAAGACCGGGTTTTCTTATCACTAAAATAAGAGGTACACGCAGCAATGCAACACAACCCACACATACCCGGCAGAGACCGGAGGCAGAGATCATTGGTTATCGGATTCCCTGTTTAGTTTTTGTTTTTGTTTTGTTTATACGGCATAAAGCGGCTTTCTTTGGATGATACCCCCATTCTGCGACTTGGGAACGATTATGACCTCCACCCAGTCTGCGCACTCGCTTCAAGTTCTACTACTGAGCATTTCCGGCCTTGTTACGAATGAACGAACGACCTTATGACGAATACCTTATGAGCTTATGACGACTCGCACGAAGTACAATCAACTTGATGTTGACACTTTCGGCAAGCCGTGCACCTATGGATTCATGCAGGAAAGCAAGACTGTGTCTGCGCTTGGCCTGTAGGTCGTTTCACCACATCATCTCGTAGCCGAGACGCGCGTTGGAGGATTGCGCTGTCAGCGGCAGACACTGGTTGTCGACAAAAACCGAGCCTCGCATCACCAGAGATGTGAGAGAGGAACTTGAAGGCGATAGGGATGGATCACAAGCACATAAAAAAAGCTGGGCATCACTAAACGATATATTTCTGCTGGGCAGGGAGATGCATGGCCCTTTACTGCCGTCAATGCCAGCATCATAACAGCCCGCCGATCGTTGTTTGCCGAGAGAGCGTCACCGCTCCAGGAAGGCAATAGAAGCGCCGCGCCGAGTGGGATTACGAGAACGACAGCCTGCTAGTCAGGCAATCTTGGGTGCTGCTCGTGTCGCGGTCGATCTTAGCTAGAAGGATGCGGCAAGCCTCACGGCTTGACTTGGCGGCGGGCTGGTTTGACATGCGGCAATATTGTAGCTCCGTCCCACTACATCTCAGAAGATCATGTGCGACTGGCTTATCGGTCTTCACGTTCGACTTCTGAGGCGCTCAATGGGAAGATGTGCTGTGCATATTTCACCAAAGAGCATGGGATGCTGGCTGATGCTATGTCAAGTGTCCTGGTGAGACTTGACATGACATTTGATTTGTGAATTTAGTAGTTAATCGATCAACAAAAAAAAAGTTACCACTCCATACTATTGCACTACTAGCATGCGTTTCAGTGATCTCTAAGTCGCAGTACCATTCTTGCATGTCGAAAAGTGAACCATTTGGAAGGGTAAAGTCAAAGCGAGTACAACTTTAGTAAGCATGGTGAAGCAAACCGGATTTTCGTGTCTCTTTCGAGGCTGTGAAACCGGCAGACGGAAAGTTGCATGCCACGTTTCTAGAAATAATCCCTAGGCGACGAATAGCCTTGGGTGGCACTGATAAGTCACGATAGAACACCCGAGCGAAAACGGATTATGGTCTTATCCCCCAACTGTACGCTGCGGGGGATTTGTGGATGTTTTTTTTTTCGCAGGCAGATAAGTGCTGAGCCCCAGACCTGCAGCAAGTAGATAGAACCTTGGCGGTTTATCGACAAAGGGCAAATACCGTTGGAGTCATCTCACTACAAATGTGCTTATTGTCACTCTACTTTTGGATATATCGAGTTGTCTACTAGTAGATTGTCCTCTCGATGACTTGTAATAGTGTAGGCAGTGAGCGATAGATGGTATTTCCGTCGGACGGACTTGCAGGGTCTAAGTAAGAGGAGGGAGAAGATTGGATCTTGTTCTCGTTACAAGTCGAGGTGGGAGGAGGCAGGACCCGCTGCGCCGATCTCTGTATGTACTACACATGCAGTCATGCTTTCGTACAACGATTCGTTTCATTTACCCAGATGAGAAAACCCGGCCTTTCCCTTGTGAGTGGTTGCAGCATGGTCTGTCTACCAGGCAGGGACGTTTACCTGCTTTACTGGGTCTTTTGGAAAGAGAAATAAGAAAATAGGGGATTGCAAAAGGTCTTAAACATGGTCAGCACTTTCTCTTTTGGACATAACATTTGCAATGAGGAAAATCTTTCCGGGGGTTTTGTTCAGTTGCTGTTCCTGTACACCGAACCCCGGACAACGCCGAAGAAATAAGTGTTGCATGCAACCGCATGGGGACTTACATTTGCATTAGATGCGTCGAACCCGCAGACAGAAAGGAAACGGAAAACTGCTGCCTATGACCCTGCAGTACCGAGGTGAATGATGGCAGTACGTGCTCAAAAATACGCAGTCTATGAGGCTCAGACAGTAGGTTGATCATTTCACTGCATCCTCTCACAAGCCTACCACTAGTTGTCTCTGCTTTGATTTTCATCTTTGTGTTGCCAAGACGACGTGTATGTTCTAGAATTGGTGGTGGGGCTCGGGTAGTAGTAGACGTTATCTCCAACGACGACGGACAACCATGAACCGCCCAGCCGCGCCTCATCCTTCCAACCAACAATCGATTATTTCTGAAAGAGGAAAAAAGGAAGCTGCCTAGTTCCGATCACGGTCATGCTGCTGCTGGCTTCTACAGAGTTGCACCAACGGCTGATAATCGCAAATCAGGATGGGAAAAGGGGCAATATCCATGATATTGACCATGAAATCAAAAACTTGCCAAAATCTATTGGCCGGCTTACGGGGCGTCGCGAGCTCACCTGTCAGCCAAAAACCCCCAGTCTGGGTAGAGAGTATGACTGACACAAGCGAAAAAAGACAATGTACGTTACACACGGGCTCCCAGGCTATCTTCTGTTTATTCCGTGACCTTGCAACACCTGGCCATCGGGAAGCCCTCGGCAATTGCACAAGAACCTACACATTGCTACACGAGGATGCTGGATCGTCGGCTCGGTAGCAATCACTCAAGTGTAACTTGAAAAATCCCTGCTACTTGCCATCATGACATTGCAGCATCTCTTGTATATATTGTAAGACGACACAAGCAAGTCCCTTGGTTAAGCACCATTGTGCCAAGGCCAGCTTTATATATTGCTGCGGCACGTGGGAATACTCGTCAGAAGCTGTCAATTAGCTGCAGTACCGTTGCCGTTGCGCCCGCTGCAGAACTCGCATCGTTTTCAGAGATTGGTAATGAACAAGAAGAAGTCCATGTCGAGTATTCCAGCCTACGTATCATTTCATTGGCACGGTCAGAAACCCTTCCACTGGAAGACCTGATGTTTCAGCCTAGAACTTGCACGTTTCTGTCCGTTGGGTAAGAACACAGTTGCCGCAGCATCACCACAGAATGCCAAGACCTGCGTGCAGTAATCAGCGTAGCACTCATGCTGCCTCTTTGAGCCAGACAACGTTCAGCCTCGCGGGTGTGGTTTTCACCACTCGTTTTCCCCGGTTACACAAAACTACAGCTGAGGGGAAAGATGAGAATGAGGGGGAAAAACAGGAACGAAGCAGCCCTTTTAATTGAGTGGCGAACTTTTGGTGATGCTGACTTGCTGACATCCCTTGGTCACTCACAAAACGTCCGTGAGGATAACGGTAATCTCTTGTTCTCTTACTTACTTTCTAAACGGAAGAGAGAGAGAAAAGAATAATCAAGCATCCCTGGCGACTCCCCTGTAGCCAGGATCATTAATATCTACACTTGTATACCGACCGGGACTGCGGCCCGTTGGAACAGGAACCACTGGTTCAGCCGCTGACAACCACGACCACGACCACGACAACCGCGGACCATGCGACCCGCCGTAATCTTCAACCTCGCCGCCGCCATTGCGGGCGTGCAGGCCACGTACTGTTCCGACAAGACGCCGGATCTAGATTGGTGCTGGTAAGTGGTTCTCATGTCTCTTCCTTTTCTCTGTCACTCCAAAGATCTGCTTGAAAGGGATCCAGTTTCCGACGTGGCAAATGTGGTGCTTGATGAACCAGAAATTTGACAATTCAATTCATTCATCCTATAGGAACAATCTCGTCTACGGCCGCTGTCAGAATGACAAGCTGGTCCTGACTCGCGACTGCGGCTACAAATCCAATACAACGTGCTCCGACGACAATAATGGTGCGAGCTGTGTGTCAGTATCGTGATGGCCAAGAGCAAGGGAAACTGGCGATCCAAGTCCATGATGGACGTAATGAAGTGCCCATGTCGGCGGCTCGGTCGGATTGTGATTTACTGTCCGGAAACTTGCGAGAATTGTCTACGACGTCCATTCTTGTGGTTGCTCCTTTTTTCCTTATTAATTTAGTTTGACCTCATACCGAATGGTGTAGGATGAAGGGAAATAATCTCTGCTGTAATGAAAGCAAGAAGCGTTCTCTAGTGTGCACGTGTCACGAAATCGAAATAAAATTTGGCAATATACACCTCGTCATTTGCTTCGTCTATTGATTGAACTATATTACACTGGGCCCCTGGCTGCTGCACCAAAGCCGCAAGTCTATACCCCTGCTCACAATCCTCCATCATACACAAGTCTGCTTTATCTATATATACGCCTTGTCAATGAGTATATCATCCTCGATTTAGTTCTTTCCATTTTCCTTTTCTATGGCAAGACCAATGACATCTGCCCAGTCTTTGGATCTGTTTCGTCCGCCTTCGTAGACCTCATTCAAGTAGACTTCAGCATCCTTGGCAAATGAGAGCAGCTGCTCCTCGGCACCCCATTCACCGGTGGCCATGAGTCCGATCGACAATCTGCCTTCACCCTGCTCAGGCTCTGCATAGCCAACAGGCGCTGTAATCGCTGGACAACCGGTCGAGTTGGCCAGCCAGATGTACATCATTGTCCGAAATGTCTTTGGGCCGTCGATGAAACCATACGCCTCATCGCCCGGGTGGATCTTCCAGCCAGCATCGGGAACCGTGGGCGTGAGGATCAAGAGGCCAGGATACTTTTGGTAGAGGAAAGCAAGATGCTCCATGTGCAACCGACGAAGCTGTCCCGATTTGACCATGTCGACACCTGATGTGAGTGCGCCCATGGTCTGCATGCACTTGTTTGGGTGGTTTACCATGGACAAGGGGTCCGAGTTGTACCATTTCGGAACGCGAGTGCGCTGGTGGTCGACTGACTCTACAAGCGCCCAAGCTGAATGAGCAGCCTGGCCTTCCTTGAGGTACGGTATGCTAATGTCGACGAGTTCGTAGTTGAGCTTATCCGTCAGGTATGAAATGGCCTTCTTTGTTACCTCCAAAACTTGCGGGGCGGCACAGTTGAACCAATCATGGTCAATTCCAATATACTTCTTGGCGGATGGGGAAGGAGGAATAGACGGTGCAAAGGCTGCTTGAATTGGGTCGTCTGGGTTGGAAGCAGACATGAGTCTGAAAGCAATGGTGAGGTCCGAGACATTTGAAGCCATGGGGCCAATGATGCAAACCGAGGACTTCATTGTGTAGACCCTATGAAGGGTGGTCTTGAGTCCATATTGTCCGCAAAAGGCGGAGGGTATACGGATACTGCCTCCGGCATCCGTGCCGACTGCCAACGGCACCAGCCCGGCGCTCAATGCAGAGCCATTTCCGGATGATGAAGCTCCAGGATAGTATGACGTGTTGTTCCAATTGACCGGCGTGCCCCAGCGTGGGTTGCAACCACTGACATCGGATCCAAGCTCGTGCATGGCAAAAGTACTGACCATGATGGCACCAGCGGCTTCCAACTGCTTGACTGGCCAAATGGTCTCTTTGGCAGGTTTGAAGAATGGGTGGCCCTCCTGTGGACCCAAACCCTTGTGGGAGACATAGCCTTCCACATCTAGATCATCCTTGACTCCAAAGGGGACACCATCTAGGACGCTCAGCTGCTCTCCCTTAGCATAGCGCTCAGTAGAGGCCTTGGCCGCCCTCAGAACAGTCTCCTCTTGGGTGACTGCAGTAGCCGACTCATACTTTGCAGGCGGATTCTGACCGCGGGCAATCAATGGCAGTAGAGCCTCGGCTACTTGCAGTGGCGTAAGCTTGCCCGACTTGTAAAGCTCATGGTAGTCTGCGGCAGAGTAGAAGCGACCAGCGCGGTCTTCAGGCTGACGCAGGGCCAGATCAGACGTGATGCCCGGCTTGCTTGGGCTGTCGCTTGTTGCCAACGGTGTGACGATTGGCTTGGGCGCGGCAGTTAGTCATCAATCCTGTCTGACCTTGAATTTGCAGGTTTGTACCTACCTGCAATTGCCAGTCGTACTCTTCCAATCCAGGAAGGTCTTTGGCAGAACCAAAGTTTGCATCTCGCCACGTAGACTTGGCGAGCCATGAGGAGCGCGTGATTCTAAAGAATGTGTGTTAGACGTCTGGTTGTTCCTGAGGCTGGATGCATCCGGTGGCTAAGTGATGCAACTCACAAGTTTGCAAAGACAACGAGCAGCCAACCTCTTAGCACCGGCACCTGTTCTTCGGTACCATTGAAGGGGATCTTGGGTCCCTCACGGGCCTTTGGATAACCATGGAAGCGCTGAGCCGGCGCCATAATGCAAAAACACACGGGTTCCTAGTCAAGATTGAAACTCTATACGATAGACTAAGGAAAACAAATTGACAACACAAAGGGTGATGGAGATGATGACGTGTGAAAGAGTTTGGCAATGGAGAGAGGGAGAGACAGAGACGGAAAGAGTGTGGTGGTTGATTGACTTCGGCCTACGGCTTGCGGTGGATCCAATCAGTCAATCACTGGAAGTTATCAGGGGAGGGGACGGACAGAGCGCCACTCTTAGCATGTGACACTACCTAGGCACTGTACGCGGCAGCCCCGGGACCTGGAAGCGAGGGCTGTGATTTAGTGGACTCGCATAGGCCAACCACTAAGAGCTGAGGTAATCTCACACTCGTGTGTCTTGAACATTGTGCAAATCTCCCGATCGCTGGTGATAGAGTTATGAGTGAACTAGCAATGTCTTCAAGTACTTAATAATCTACAGTTTCATAACTCAAAAATCAGATATCGCACATGGAAAATCGTGGCTGTCTGTCACCTTTTACAGCTTGCATTGGGTTGGCACAGTAATGGGAACCATGCCAAGCAATATAGCCAAAGTGGACAATTAGTTCGAGTATAAGAGGGTCGCCAGTATTCAGCAGGCCTCAGACATTCATTCACACAGCTCATGTGACAAGAGGCCAAGAGGAGGTTGAGTACCGTTCTAAATGTTTTCCACATATCTATCGTAATGACCTCGTTCCGGTATCGTCATGAGTGGTTGTTGTCGTTCCAAGGTTAGGTGTATGCCCAACGCAATTGTCATTTGGGGTTCAAGCAAATCATTGTTGTTTGTAGTCAGTTCATCTGCGTCTCTTGGGCAATGCGCAAACACAGTACAAACCTAAATCATTTAGTTCTATTTGCCTGCTTCACACTGTCACTATTAATGACTGTTCTTGCAATAATCTCTCTACTGCGTGCCAGGAGAAGCCCGGCTTCCAACTATAAAAGACCCAGCGGCGCTCAGCCAAATGCTTCTCTACACACCTTTGACATCACATGAGAAAGTCTTAGCACCTGACATGAATTTCGACTTGATTTCTTCCACTTGAAATAATTAAATATGATATGAAAATATCTCTTCTTTTCCCATTCCGTCTGGAAAACCCAAAAGATCAATCAATGCCTGCCTTGATCGAGATTGTCTCGCAATGAAACAGTACTGCTTTTCCCGACTGACTCAAATCCGTCTACTCTGACTCTACCATGACATGGTGCATTGCGATTATTTCTACAGCCTGTCAAATGCATGTACACTCGTCCGTTCCTTCCTGATACGCAGAGCCCACGACGGGTCCTCTACGAACAGCTGGCACATTGTCTAGACAAGACATAGGCAACGCTTATACATCAACAGCTCGGAGCCTTGCATGCGGCCATTCATCTCTCGAATCAAAGAGCGGCAATCGATACTTGGCGTTCTATGAAGCACCTTCGAGATACCTTGATCTGGCTCGAGGAGAAAATGGGTGTTGTTGATGAGTGAAGGAGAGGGACGCGGAAGGATCTGAACTCTGATTAACAGAAACTACAGGCGTCGATACCAAAGATAGGTAAATTGAATCACCTGATAGTCCAGGAGATTCACAGTATTCTTCGTGAGCCCGACCGGAATGTGGTTAACACCGGTGATAACCATCTTGGCAATGCGCTGAGTCCCTGTGTGTTGGGGACTTTCATTCGGGGCTGCCATGAAGGTATTCGCACGCCCGGGCAGGACCTTGGTGCTCACCTACTCACGGTCGTCGACAGCCTCAGATAGGCAAAGAACCGTTACGAGATAGGACCACCAGGACGCTCTATATCATCAGCCAAGTATTGGAAGCTGTCCAAGAACGAGGAAGAAGATAGTGCAATTCTCAATATGGCCAAGCGAGTCCAGCGCCTGCTTTCCGAGGCTATGATCCTCGGCGCCCCTGAAGAGAACTTCCTGAGCAAGAACATCGAGGAAAAGAACGGCAAGGAGACCCAGGGCGAGATTGACGAGGACGACAACGAAACTGCTGAGGATAGCGATGAGCCTGCAGCCGTTGTCAACGAGGAGGTCGCGGTCGAGACAGGCGCCACCAGCTCGGGCGAGAAAGACCTCGACGATCTAATGAACGAGGACTTCTGAGAAAGCACGCAATCTAGAAGCGGAGCTCGGCAATGGGAATGCAAGGAATGGCAATAACAACAGAGACAATGGGCTGTAATTACCGACAATGGGTTTGAGGATTCGTGAATGCGATGTGGTTAACAGAATTTTTCTGTAAGGGGGGGGACTCAACACGAAAGACTTCGTAGCAGCCATGGAAGCTTATCTGGAACGGTCGGAGAAGAGCCTCCTCGAAATGCATGGCGACTTGCTCCAGCAAGCAAATATGGAGGACCTCTTACGATTTCAACGAAGCACAACAGCCTCAAATGTTGTATGAACTCCGAGATGAACGAGTTTTGGGCACATTAACCCAGCCACGAAGTATGAAGCTTGCACAAGATCGAGATTGGCTGCTAACTTTGGTGCTAACTTGTGGCAGCCTGCTTGACAAGTACAGTCTATTCCTGGTGAAGGTCTTTTCGCCCACCATTTCGGCAGAGACCGGAATGCCGTGCAGAAATCACATTTACCAACAACAACATCAACGAAACGGAGGATACCCGAGAGAAGAATTTAGGATATGAGCAGATGTCTCATAAGTATGAAAGTTGGAACAGAATTTCTTAGCCCCGTCTTTTTTCATTGAGCAACGCCAACCGCTCACCCAGACTCCTCATTTGTTCTATCCAGTTGGGCACATAACCCCCAGCTATACTTGAGGGGAAAACCCGAGTAGGTCTACAACACCACTCGACCGCCTCTCTAACACAGACCACGATGTGGCTTTTGTGGAGGCAACAATTCTGGGCAGCGCGCAGTGGTCTTAAGGGATGAGAAAAAGTTTCCACGAATGATGTCTTGTTCCCTGATGAAGAAGACTTGCACAATACACACGCACACGCACGCACGCACAATTGAGAAGTGTGTGTGGTGATGGCGTTTGGTGCGTGTCCTACCCTTGATGCGCTCAAAGAGTCGGGCAAGCGGCTCGAGAACCTGACGTGCCGGTTCTACTATCCTCGTCCATCTGTACAGCAACCCGAGGCGGACTTGTCTCTCAATCACGGGCATCCCATGTTCATTGCCGAGCGCAATGATGCGCAGCTAGTACCCTAGGGTTCGAGGCTACCGTGCAGGAAATTGAATGGAGGCAAACTTGCGCGGGTGATGTGAAAACAGCGACGAAGAGTACGACCCTCAGTCGTCGTCGATCTGCTGCCGCTAGATCTCTGACTACAACTGGGATTTGACAAAGCTTTTATGCAATGTCCAAAGGAGTCCTCAAAGATCGAGGACAATTTCAATAGTTTTCCGAGACTTGGTCATAGTATTATATTCTTGATATCTTACTCATGATAATCAGACACGGAGCGACGAGCGAGAAGATGAGCGAGAAATCTGGATAAAGTTATATTGTATTATTGTATGTTGGTATAAATGTATCGTTGGGCATCTATGAGCTAGTAGTACAGTTATCAATACCCGACTGGAAAATATCGGACTGCTCCACAAACAATGGCAGGTAGTCCCGCGTAGAGAAGGTCGAGTTGATATAATAGGCAACATCGCTGTCGCTATAGTCCGAGCCAAGAATTGCCAAGACGTCGCTTTGGATGCTATTGGGGGAAACGGTCAGTATTGGTCCCTTAGTGCCCTGAGAATAATAGTTCAGAAAACTTACAAGTCTAGGAAAATCAGGTCAGCAGTGTCGGTGCAACCCTCGTCTCCGAAACCGCCCTCTCCTTGGAAGAAAACAGGGACTTCGTAGTAAGGAATCGAGCTGTGCGCGGTATCATCACCATCGGTTCCGAAATCATCCGTCGTGGTGTACCCGGCAACCAGATCAACGACCTGGCGGCGCGTAATGGCAGAGTTGACGTGCACGTGAGCTTCCATGTCTCTGGAGACCAAGGGGGACGTCGTGGGGTTCACGCAAATGTCGCGCTCAACGGGCATGTAGCCAAAGTTGCGCTTCTCGTTTGCGCCGGCATTGTTGAGGCCGTCGAGTACTGTACTAGCGAGGCTGCACGGCACTTCTGGCACGTACATGAAAATGTCCGTAAAGGGCGACACGATGAAGAAGTCGTCGTAGGTAAAAGGACCCTTGTACAAGTCAAAACGAATACTGCCAGTGTTGGCAATGATGTATCTTGGAATGTCCTGCCGAGTTTCGTTGACGACAGAGGTGGCCAACGCGTCAGAAAGGAGGGGGTAGATGTTGTCAGTGCTGTTAAACTCGGCGCACGACATGCAGTAGCTCTGAGGAGCGCAGCCATATACTTGGCCCAGGTTGAGCTGCTCACGGTATGTGGTAATGGCCGATGTGACGTTTTCGCCCGAAGCAGTATCAAAAGACGCGACTCCACCCACGGCGTGGAAGTCAAACGTCGCTCGGTTCCAGTCGAGGTATCTACGCGAGTACTTGTACGGCGATGTCGAGTTTGTGGTGGCTTTACGAGATGGGTTGGACACGCCCTTGGGGTTCGCACTGCCCTTCCATCCGCTGCTGCACTTGGAGAAACCGCTCATGCTCAGCCATCCGAGAGTCTCGCAGTAACGACCTGATTCGATCGATGTACTGCTCTCATCCAGAACAGCAAAGTCACGAATATGACTGTGGCCGCCAAAGAACTGAATGGGCGTGTTGGTATGAACGCTGCGGATAGCATCATGGATGGTACCAAACGTGCTTCCAGTGTCGTCGCCAACGCGTGCGGGATTGTGACCGAGAACCACAAAGAGATCGACGGGCTCGGTAAAGTTGACAGCATCCAGGAACCACTGTTCCGTCACCAAGGTCTCGGCGGGAGTGACCTGGGAAATGTTCACATTGCCCGTAAAGTCAAAGAGAACGCCAAAAGCCATGATCCTCACGCCGTTCGCAGTCGTGAAGTACTTGTACTGCTGGCCAATGTACTCCCATTCGTTCGTCACATTGTTGAGAATCTGGACGTTGGAGGTGAGATACTTGTCACCCCAGAACTTTGAGAGCTGGGTGAAAGTTTGGTACGCGACTTCGGCAAGATACAACTCATGGTTTCCTGGCACGATAATTAGCAAAAAGTTGACAATAATCGCATGTAGTAGATGAATAGACATACCAATGGTCAGCAAGTCGTAGTCTATCTTTTCAAACAGAATATTGGTGATCGCGGCGTCGGGGGTTGTCACGTCGCTTAGCCCAGCACCATCGTGCAGGTCACCTGTATACTGTCAGTTGTGTCTATAAATGTACACGGGTGATATAAGCTCACCAGTGTCAACGAGGAGAAGATCGACGCCCAATTCGCCGGCTTTTTGCTTCATGTAAGTCGAGAAAGAGACAAAGTCCTAGATCGAGAAATAATTAGTATGAAAAGAGAAGAAATGGTGAAGACTTTGGTTGCTTACACCCCAATCTGCTCCATAGTTGCCCTCTTTGAGATGTCCTTCCAGCCAGCCGTGGGTATCAGTCTGTTGTGCAGTGTCAACTCATGTCGCTCTTCGCCATAAGCAACTAGACCTTCTTCAGTCAACCTACAGTGTGCAAAAAGTTCAATTGACCCCATTCGAGCTCTCTGGTAGGACCATAAGAGGCATTGGCGACACCGGGCTGCATGCGCTTGACATGACGGACGTGTTCGACATGGTTCGTAGGCCCGTAGCAGGTATCGCAAGCAACTGCTTCGCGTATAAAGCTGGTCGTGGCCACCAGGCCGGCGACGGCAGCCGCGCTGATGCTCTTCATTCTTGGCAGGACGAGGATTATGATTGACCGCGTACCAACGTTCAAGACAATCAATGGCGTCAATACCAAGAGCACACCAAGAAAAGCCAAGAAGAGGGGAGGAGGTTCCGAATGTTTGGAGCGACGGGTAGATGGGCGATCTTTTAAGGGACCCGGTGATATGATTGCATACTAACCTAGGTACCAAAGTAGGTATGCATTGCCCTGGCGTACGCTTGCTCGCTTGCTACTCTGTGTCCGTCCTACCTAGTGTGCAGTTGCACTGCATCGTCCGCCGATCTCATCACACCCATGTCGGTCGCCGCGTCGTACTCCTTTGGTTTACGATACTTTGACCAGGGGGGGCAAGCACGATTGTTTACCTGGTCGATTCTATTGAGCAGCCACAAATCGCCCTGCTTTGATGACATTATGAAGTGGAATGGGGTTTAACCTCCGTGAACCGTCGGGGCTTTGTGGGTTTACCACGCTCCAAATCACCACCAATCACCAAAGCCGGGCTCGGAGCGTGGTTATCCCTAATCGCGCGTATGGATGAGCTAGGGAGGAGCCGTTAGCGGTCATTTCCCAGAATCATGGACTTTTCTGGGGCCCCTAGGGGAAAAGACCAGCAATTGACAGAGTTTCCCCGGGGGTTAATTTATCGCAACCCTCGCACGTGCATGGCCATACTCCCGGCGCGACCTTCCTATCGTGGTAGGCATTATGGATCTAGCCTGCATAAGCTCAATCTTTTCCCCCATGCCGCGATGCCGGTTATCTGTCAGGTACAAAAAAGACTGACTTACTCGGAGATAGGAGATGAACAGGATAGATCAATTCTTGATGAATGAACCTGAATAGATAATCATGATTCAGTATCGACTTTTGGTAAAGATAACGACTGGTTGACCGATAAGTATGCAAGCGGAAAGACAGCTGTAGTATGGTGACCAAGACGAAAGAAGTAAAGCTAGAGAGACATCAGAGGTGCTATGTATTGATTTCCTACCAGCCAGACTATCATGATGATTTGAATTCCTTTAATAACAAGCAATGTTGTTTCACCAGAGTGTGAGAAGCCTGATTGCGACAATTCATTCACATTTACAACAGAGCTCATTACTGTATAGTTGATTCCTACCGATATTGCAAGCAACACTATATCATGCTCTATGGATCAGCATCGGCCATATCCTGCTTATACCTCTGTATACATCTCTCCTTGGACTCCTTGAAATCAACGTGCGGTTCCGGATAACCCAACTTCTCAAACTCGTCCCGGTCGAGGCGGTGGTACGGGTCAAAAATGGCCTTGCCTTCCACGTTCTTGAGCTCGGGCACCCATTTACGGATATAATCGCCGTGGGGATCACACTTTTCAGCCTGGACGACGGGGTTGAAGACGGTATAGGAGGGTTCCCAGCCTTGGGTATTGTTGCACAGGTCCCAGTCAATCAGATTCTCGACAAACCAGCGCTCGCCGCGCCGGTAGTCGATAAGCAGGCTGCGGCTGAGGTAACTGCTCACATTCATGCGAAGGCGGTTATGCATATAGGCCTCGGCACGAAGCTGGCGCATGCCCGCGTCGACAAACGGCACCCCCGTCGTGCCCGCGCACCACTTTTCCCACCCGGCCTCGTCGTCTTCCCACTGGACAAAGTCAAACTTGAGGTTCTGTGGCAGGTTCATGCTGTTGTGGGGCTTGACGACCATCATGTGCCGGTAGAACTCGCGAAAGACCACCTCGCGCACCCACGATGCCACGCCCGCCTCGGCACCGGACTGCGAAAAGTCGGCCGAGCCGTCGTTGCTTTCCCGTGCGACTGACAATGCTTCGCGCACCGAGATGACGCCGGCGGCAAAGTAGGCCGAGAGCCGCGATGAGTTATCGGCGGCCGGGTTGGAACGGTTTTGTGCATATGTCTTGACCTTTTTGTCAAAGAACTCGCGAAGCCGTTTCATTCCTGCCTCATAGCCTGCCGGCCACAGCTTCCGAATCCGCTTCCTGTCCTCTTCGGAATCGAATTTCTTGGACTCGGGGACTTTTGGGAGCGGCTGGTCGAATAGCTTCTTGAGATCCGACGAAGCGGACTTGTCATTGGCCTGCGGCAGCGGCAACGTATCCAATAGCTCCGGATCCGACGACAGCTCAGCGAGCCAGGCCTTGTGGTAAGGCGTAAAGACCTGGAGCGGGCCGCCGGAGCCCGTCCTGAGCTTGCCAGGCTCAATAACCGTCTGGTCGTGGTGCAGCACAAATTGTTGGCCTTCTAGTCTATCAAAAAAGTCGAGATCACGCCGGAGCTCGTCGACCTCGTACTCAATGTTGGCATAAATGTGGCTGACTTCTTGCTCCTTGACCAGCTCCAAGACCTTGGACCCCTTGTCACCCCTCTTCTCGGCCTCGAGGATCACGAGCGGTATATGCAGATCAGTCAGCTGCCTTTGTAAGAGTTTAATGGTCTCCAGCATAAAGTCACTGCGTGCGGGACTCGTGCCGTGCCATTCGAGATCCTCGGGGCTGAACAAGAAACATGTAATGAGCGAATCCTTTCCCTCCTTGGCCTTGAGAGACGCAGCGTGCAGCGCGCGATTGTCTTCAGCCCTGAGATCCTTGCTTCGAAACCAATGCAGAATCTTGCCCGGCTTGGAGTCCTCCGGATTCACCTTGGCGATGCGCTCCAGTAGCTCATTATGGGGGTTCTCGGGGCCATCAATCTCCTTGGCCCGTTTGGTGGAAGGGTGCTTTAGTACATCATCCTGGGAAATAGAGCGGGCATGCTTTTTGGCATTTGCGCCATCGCCCTTCTTGTCAGACATGTTTCGTTTCTTCTTGTTGAGTTTTGGAGAGACTGTTGTGAAAGTGCGAAGAGTATAGATCCTGGGACAATGTAGTATGTCCCGACGACAAGAGCGAATTGAAGCTCTCACAATGAAAAGATGAAAAGACATGAAATGTTCACATAGATATTTTTTTTCATTGGCCGACTTGGGAAGTTATTTCTCAAGCAAGTGGCTGGGTTGAGTTGCTTATTTGTCAAGCTGCACTATAATCCATGACGTAGATGGCCGATGCTATTATGATCAGAGCGCCAAGTCTCAAAGCCCGAATCGAGTGTAAATCGCAAGGTTTCCACACTCACATTTTTACGGTTTCCCAGGCGCCAAAATCATGTCACAAAGCAAACAGCAGAAGACTAAAATTATTTTGTACAACGTATGTATTATGTTCAACCTTCTTGGGTTGGATTGTTCATCTAGAAAGAAACACGCTTAATCCTATTTACATATTCCTTAACGCCTTGACCAACGCCTTTTTTTTCGTCTCATTAATCATGTCATCCGCTCGTCATGGGACTTGTTCCACTAAGCTTCTAGTCATTGTAGATATCCTCGTCCATGTCATCTGGTACAATATCCTCCACTGCGTCATCATCATCGATGAGCATGTCTTCATCCCCAAGCTCGCTGTCGGTGTGGTTGGGCAAGACCTGGATCTTGTTATCTACCAGCACCACGCGAGCCGTCTCGCCATCCTGGATAGCACCGCGCAGAATCAGGACTGCCATTCTGTTCAGCACTTCCTTTTCAATGAGTCTGGCTAGCGGACGGGCACCATAGGCAGGGGAGTAACCAGCGTTGCCCAGGTAGTCCTTGGCTTCGTCTGACACCTGGATGCGCACATTGCGCTCGTTGTCGTACAAACGCTTCTGAATTTCGCTGATGCGAAGGTCAACAATGTTGCGAATCTCCTTGCGTGTCAAGCGGTTGAAGATTACCACCGAGCTGATACGGTTCAAGAACTCGGGCAGGAAGTAGTTGCGCAGCGCATTGTTGACAAGTTCTCGAGTGGTTGCATCGATCTTGCCATCACGGCCAGCAGGACGAGCTAGGAATTCGGCACCCAAGTTGGAGGTCATGACAACAATGCAGTTCCTTGCGTCGACCACACGACCCTGGCCATCAGTGATGCGGCCGTCGTCCATGAGCTGAAGGAGGACAGTCAAGACCTCCTTGGCCGCCTTTTCCACTTCATCAAACAGTAGGATAGAGAAAGGCTTGCGTCGGAGGGCCTCGGTAAGCTGGCCACCAGCGTCGTGTCCAACGTATCCTGGGGGTGCACCGATCATTCTACTCAGGGCGTGACGTTCCTGGTATTCTGACATGTCGAATCGGATCATGGCCTTGGGATCGTCGAACAAGAACTCAGCAAGAGCCTTGGTCAAAAGTGTCTTACCAGTACCCGAAGGACCACAGAATAGGAAGCTGGGAGGCTGGTTGGGATTGCTGAGTCCGGATCGTTGCAAACGGATGGCATTGGAGACTGCGTTGACGGCCTCCTTCTGACCAACAACGATCTTGCCCAGAGCCTGCTCCATCTTGATAAGCTTCTCCTTTTCGGTGGTCTTGAGTCGAGTGACAGGGATACCGGTCCAGCGAGAGACGATTTCGTTGATTTGTTCTGGTCCAACGATGTCGGTAACCATAGATCCACCAATGTCGTTCTGGTTGAGAGCTGCGTCGGCAATGGCCTTTTCCTTCTCGAGCTGCTTGATGGCAGTTTCTTGTTCAGGGATTGCGTAGTACTGAAGATCGGCAGCACGAGCGTGGTCGCCCATACGTGCGGCATCCTCGGCCTTGACCTTCAGCTGGTCGAGCTTGACCTTGGCTTCTTGAATGTCCTTGCCACGTCTTCGCTCACTCTCATACTTTTCTCTGAGAGGTCGAAGTTCCTCCTCGACGTTCTCAGCATCCTGCTTGGCTTGCTGAAGACGAGCCTTGGATGCTTCGTCCTTCTCTCGGCTCAAGGCATGAATCTCAATCTTGAGTTGTCGCAGCTTACGCTCGAGTGAATCGATGATTTCTGGTTGAGACTCTCTGGCAACTCTGACTGCAGCAGCGGCCTCGTCGATCAAGTCGACTGCAGAGTCGGGAAGTCGTCGAGAGGTGAGGTAGCGTGCTGCGAGTGTGGCCGAAGCGACAATGGCGCTATCGGCAATGGAAACACCATGGTGCACTTCGTACTTCTCCTTGAGACCTCGAAGAATGGAAACAGTCTCGGGAATGCTTGGTTCCTTGACAATGACTTGTTGGAATCGTCGTTCAAAGGCGGCATCCTTCTCAATGTACTTTCGATACTCGGCAAGGGTGGTTGCACCAATGCAGTGTAACTGACCACGAGCTAGCATGGGCTTGAGCAGATTGGCTGCATCCATACCACCTTCACCGGACGAACCAGCGCCCATGAGCAAGTGGATCTCGTCGACAAATAGAACAATCATCTCCTTGGACTCGGAGATCTCCTTCAAAACTCCCTTCATTCTCTCCTCGAATTCACCACGATACTTGCTGCCGGCGACCAGGGCACCGACATCAAGAGACAAGAGCTTGCAGGCGGCCAGGTTGTCGGGGACATCAGCATTGACAATACGCTGTGCCAAGCCTTCAACAACGGTTGTCTTACCGACACCGGGCTCACCAATCAGGACGGGGTTGTTCTTGGTTCGTCTGGACAGAATTCGGACGACTCGTCTAATTTCTTCTTCTCGGCCGATGACGGGGTCAATCTTGCCCTCTCGTGCCATGGCTGTCATGTCGATGGTGAACTTTGCCAGGTTCTCATGTTCCTCCTCTGTGTCTGCGGTCTTGGAGTCCACTCGCTTCGTTCCACGGATAGTCTGAATGGCATCCTGGACCAGCTTGGCCTTGGGAATGTTGGCCTCCTTGAGCGCCTCGGCCACGCCGGGGTCTTCCGCCAGGGCAGTGATCAGGTGGTCGACTGCCACATAGGAATCCTTTTGTGTCTTTTGCAGCTCACCAGCCTTCCTGAGGACGGTGCTGAAGCTTGGTGACATGGAAACATTCTCGGGTGGTGGGTCTTGGCTGGGCAGTCGAACGAGCCGCTTCTGGAGAGCTCGCTCAAAGAGCTGCGGATCGCCATGTGCTCTCTCGACGACCTGGCGGAATAGACTGGAACTTGCTCCACCGGGCGGAGCGTTTTGTTGATCCTTGGACAGATCCGGTGGAGGGGTGAGCAAGGAGACTGCGAGATGGACTGGCATGAGCTGTGAGTGAGCATACTGCTCGGCCAATGCCATGGCGTCCTCCAGGGCCTTCTTGCCCCGGTCTGTAAACTCCATGCGTGAAGTCATTTTGGGGTATTGTATGGGAAAGAAAGTATTACTTCAAAATAGAGTAAAAGAAGTGAAAATGTGACTTCGCAAGTGAAGCTTGCTTTTGTGGTTGTGTGTATGGTTTGGCTTCAATGCCACTAGTGATTGGGTATCAAGATTACTGTTGCTTGTATTGTATGTCGAGGGAAACAGAACCGATAGTGAGCTTGAAACTATCGAGACTTTTATGGTTGAACCATCACCGATGCTGGTGGAGAAGTGGAAGACGGGGGAAGTTGCGAGACCTTGGAAATATCGACTCATGGACGCCCATGGACGATTCTCTTGCATCTGAGTTGTCTCTCGTTGCATGTAGCAGGTTCCCACAGCTACCCGATGATGCAAGAGCGTGATAGAATCAAGGAGAAGCGACGTCAACCCACCAGAACATTCGATTATCCATAGTTTTAGTGGGGCATAATTCTTGCAAAGAACAGGGGAAGCGCGGGGTCAAATTAATGCTTTGATGCAAGAATAGTTTTTTAAGCGGGATGTGATATGTAATTACCAGAGAGGTCGGGCTTAAACTATAATCGGCGGGGCTATAGAACTATTCTCAGTAAGCGTGGAACTCTATCCTTCTGGCCATCTTCCGATAACGATAAGCTATCCCTGTCGCGGTGCCGGACTAGACTCTCCAGGCTGGAGAACGCGTATGGCCCGTGCTGTCCAAAGTTTTTGGGAGCTTCAGTTCCATCGCGTGCCGACTCCTGACCCAACGGCAGCAGCAGGGAAGGACATTGGAAAGATCATTGGCCCCCCTCAGTCCACAGCAGTGCGCCATGAATGTCAACAACTCCCTACGGCCGCTGGGCGCCTTGACTGCTCAGCTGGGCCGGCTGTCCGTGGGACTGTCGAGAACAACCATCCGGGCAGCGTCGACGATCGAGACGAGCCCCAATGCCGTCGAGGTGGATGCAAAGGAGGCAGAGAAGAAGGCCAGAAAAGCAGCAAAGAAGGCAGAAAAGAAGCAGAAACCGAGGATAGAGCCCAACTTTGAGCCCGGGCATGGAGAGAAGATTTGGTTGTTCAGCCACTTGGTTGATGGGCTGACGGTGTATTCGCACAGTCCCGTGTTGAAGGTGTGTTGTCCTCGGCCTTGCTCGGGCTGGAACAATTGTCAAGATGCATTTCACATGGAACAATCAAGAAACTAATTTCTTTACAGGCCAACAAAGCCCTGCGCCAACTACCCTTCAACGGAAAGAAGCTGAAGCCTTCCAAGATGCGAAAGGACTACTGGCGACCAATGGCCTTGATTCAATTCCCCGAAGGCATGGGCCACATCGGACGATCCGTCTTTCACATCATGCGCGAATTCCGCATGCAGCACGACCTGGCCTGGTCCGACAAGTATCTCGTGCATGCGAAATCACACCGCACCCTTACCCGTCTGGAGCGCGGCGAGAGGCTGAACACTGCCCAAAAACCCAACGCCATTGCCGACATGGCCGCCGTGCTTGGAGGCTTGGGCAGGGGCAATAAGATGTGGCTTCCCGTGGTTGAGGGCGTGACAGACCTGGTCGAGACGAGTGGTGCTACGAGGACAAACGAGGAGTCGGGCAGTACCGAAGCTCTGCTGAGGACGACCGTTTTCTGGGCCGACAAGCTGGACAAGAATTTTGCTCAAGAGTGGCCAGCCAACGTATCACACTATGAGCTCAGCGAGGCCGTCGGCGTACCAGTCACCGGGACAGAGGAGGTCACAGAAATAGCACCCGAGGAATTGCTCGCATCAGAAGAGCAGCCAAAGAAGAAGTCATGGTTTGGCGCATAAAGAAGAAGAAAAAAGCAAGGCTAAAGGAATGTCATTTCCCAATCGCTGACCCTTAAGTGTGTACTCATAAAACATTCCGTCTCTGCAATCTGGAGATGTCCCTGTACATTATTGTACGCCAAGAAAACAGTGTACCATACGCCCATTGAAGGCAATAAACAATTCATCCAATATCAGAAATTATGAATTAAACCTTGATGGCAAACTGCTTCAGATACTCATAGTGAGCAATGTTTTCGTTGACGCATTCGCGAATGACCTTTTGTCCCTCCTCGCCATACTTTTCGATCCACTCCTGGTCCTCAGCCTCTTCTGTTGCAACCTTCTAGAATCGGGGTTAGCAGGGGATCGAAAATTTGTGGTCAACGTCAACATATAACTTACGTGAGCGTGCGTCCTTGGCGACAAGTTCTTGCTCTTGATCGCATCATTGTGGAATCCAATCCACTTGGAAAAGGCCTCTTCGACATACTGCTGGTCGTCTGGGTTATCCCAGTTCAGCATGTCTGGTGTGAAAGGAATGCCAGTCTCTTTGCAGAATGCCTGAACAATTTCCTGGGGGTGGTCCAGCAGATCATCAGCATCAAGAACCGTAACGGTGATTTGGTCTTGCTTGCTGTGGCCATTGACATGTCCGTTGGTCTGACCGTTGGCATGGCCATTGACCTCGCCATTGGTGTGACCGTTGGTGTGGCCATTTGTGTAGCCATTGGTACCATTCGCATGGCCATTGACGGCGGGCATCTCGGCACCCTCGGCCATGCGTGGTCCAACAACACCCTGCTCCCGGAGGTAGTCAAACAGGACACGGAGCTCCAAGTACCCGGCCTCGTTGGACATGAAGTTCTTGAAGCCCGTCACGTCATCCAGAGGAGGAATCGTGCAGCGGTAGAAGGAGGGGATGCCGCGCCTCGGGTGGCGGATGAGGAATGCAAAATGGTACTTCTTCATCACATCCAAAGGCAAGACCGTGGGGTTGCCGGGCTCAGTGGTGCCGACGCCCTTGGTGTGGCCATTGGTAATGATCTTTTCAACACCGTTGGTGGTGTTACTGTTGGCTTGGTCGTTGCTGAGAGAAGAGGCAACTGTTGTAGGCTTTCCGTCAGGTGCCATGAGGTAATATGCCATATCCTTGATGAAAACACGCTTTCCCTGTTCCTGTTAGCATTTTGTTCGTATAAGTTATAGTAAAATAAAGAGAATGTAGAGTATTTCAGGTAACAATTTGGTAACGAAATCAGGGACAAGTCTCCAAATTTAAGCACTGCAGCAAGTCGCAGGCAAGTCACCAATTACATCGGGCTCTAGTGTAGAGGGCAGCTTACATGATCACCGTCCCTCTCGAGTCTGTTGAGAACATCTCTGTAAGTGGTCTTGGAAAATCCACTCTTGATTCTCGAGACCTCATCGTCGTATCTGGTGCTGAGCCTCTCAGGGCCGTAGTAGAATGCATCACCGAATGGCTCATGTGCACATTCGAGGATATCTCGGCGAGTCATGAAGACCTAGACATCGTCAGTGTAAGCTTGACACATTTTGGCCTCTTGGCAACTGGCTTACCCGCTCGAATGCTGTAGAACATGCTCGCGGATGTGTCGCGAGAAAAATTGGTTTTGAAGACATGGCGATAAAAAAAATTTATTCGCAAAAGAAACTAGTGTGAACCTCAAAAAATAAACGTCACACGTGAACAAGGAAAGTCTTCTTGATGGTACGCGACTTGTATTTCTGGGAGCATGTAATCTTCTACAGTACTGCTGAGTTCTGTCTCCAATAATTGGAACAAGTATGAGTATGAAGCAGAATATTGTTGAAAGAACACGAGAGATGAACGTTCAGCTTTTTATTTCAGAGAACCGGAAAACCGCCATCGTGTTTCTCAGCCGGCGCCGCATGAGGAACTCGAGTTCCTGGCCAACCGAAAAGTGAGACTCTTACCTACCATGCTGCCCATGTACCAAGTTACGTTCGGGAGCGGCCCTCCTTTCGCCCCACGTCGGTAAAACCATGCGGATGTGAGTACCTGGTTATAACCCACAATATGCACCTTTCATCCTCGTACCTGGACATGCCGACGACCGGTTTTTTTGAGCCACAGACATCCCAACGTGGTATACCGGCACGTCATGTGTACGTACAAGAAGCTGGAGGCAGAGGTAGCCGGTACCTGAGTACATTGGGATTTGCTCGTTGACAGCCGCGGTGGGCCTTTGGAAGTATAGGATGTCGGCCGGGAAAGGCGATAAGGGTGAGATTCCCATGCTGTTGTGTTCTTTTCAGAGGTGGCACGGTTTACCTAGTTGCTTAGCACCTTGCCTGTGCATGGGTCGGGGAAGCTAAAAAGAGGAGCCTAACAGAGTCCGCAATAGTCTGGAACCGTGTGTGGGAGGGTGAAAGAAAAGGGAAATAGTCGGGCGCGGCTTGGTTGTGGTTATCAACTGTCACTGTTCAGGTCAGCAGTGTGAATTGCGCCCATAAAGTTACCCGGGGCTGAGGCATGATGGACCAATATGGTATCAAATCGATGGCGTGATGAGTATTGGCATGCCTATCGACAGCTTGGTGCCCTTTCCCCTGTCTCCCAGGATTCCCATCTTCTTATCTTTTCTTTTTCTTCTTTTTGCTCGTGCATGATTTTCAGGATACGGGCATCATGTGTTCCAGTTGCCAGTAAGCTGCAGCACCAGGGAGCCAGTTGCAACTTTGCCCCCCCCGCGGATAAGAGCTTTTCTTTCTTTCGTAATTGGCCGTGTTTGCCCGGCCGCCCTCACCCGCTGGTCCACGATAGGCCTCGCATCGGGGCTTCGAGACCGGCAGCCCAGCATTGGCGGGAGTCCACTGCACCACCGGACCCCAGCCGGGTCGACCTAGTGACGTAAACATCCTGGCTAGCCCCAAAAGCCACCACGGTCGTCGGTCTGCGATAGCCACCGACTCCCTCGAGACATCGACCGACAACCGCCGCGGCTGTACAACGTCAACTCCACCAATGCCGCCCTGCCGGCATGCATTGAAGATCGGTCAACCGTCAGGTCGGTAGCGATGAAGTTTTTCGTTCACCAAGCTCACAACATCGTTAGCAGTGGCCTGCCTCTGTCGATGCAGCCGGTGCATGGCTTGAACCTTGAACAGACCGCCAGTAACTCGGTTGCCTCATCGTATTAACGTACTTGTTCCATCGGTTTAGGTCGGGGTCCTTTCACTGTGGGGACTTGTTTATCCAGCCTGACGATACCATCCGGTCCGTTCCCAGGATTGACTTGGAATGAGCCATAGAATACATGATCGACATGCTTTGATCCTCGAGAAGCTTCACAGTCGAGTGTTCCAGAGCTCGATAGCTACTGTATCTGCAAGTCAATACTTCCGATAGAAGATGACGCGCCGCGGCAGGCAAGCTTCTCGTGACCATTGCAGGGTCGTGTAGGACGATGAGACTCGTCCACGCCAGCCACTATTGCACGATTCACTTCTCGAGAGCTCGTCATGAGCAAATGCAACGGTTGTGACAGGTAGAGTAACAAGACGGGATAATTGACGATAACTCCATGGTATGAGACACTGGAATGAAGCCAATATGGTAGATCGTGTAAGGTGTCATGGTCGAGAGACATATTTTCTCTGCATGCAAAGACCGAATGACCTCGTGCGAGCTCATATCATTGCTCATGGTCCATTTGAAACATCGACTGGGTCAACTAGCCCAACAACATGAACTCGTCTGGTTGTATGAGGTTTGCAGAAGGTTGAAAGAAGACAGTCTGAATAGGTAGAAAGGAAAGAAGTGCTACACTTGTAGAAGTCTGGTCTGAACACATTGCTTGCGTGAACCAATATGAACTTTCGAGGAATCCCAGGTGAAAACGAGAGCCGTCGTGTTGAAAAATAAAGTAAGACTACTCGGAAATCAACAAGTTTCGTGTCGCGTGAGAGGGAGGGGAGGGTTCAAATAGTCTGCGCTGCGTAGGGTATTTATCGAACAAATAGCCAACTAATTTCCGTGTAAGTGGCTACCAACCGTAGTAGTCTCCGGCCACCTTGGCCTAGATTGAAAAGATAAGTAAGAAAAAAAAAAGAGAGACCAAGACTTGGGACCCAGCACAGACGCCGGTGCCAGGTGGATGACTCGATAGGAAGTCAAACACCCTGGACGATCATCGACAAGCTGGGCCTGCGAATCATAGGCCACGGTATTACGTTGTCACAAAGAAAGGACCCCCGACGGAATAATGTGCTTGGCCCATGCTCCCTCCCATAAGAAGATGCTTCCCGCCGTGATAAATCCTTTTGCCCCCTTTGCGAGTTTTTGTGAGACGTCAAGTGATTATTTCGTACTGGGTGGTACCACTTACACGCACGTGGGGCAGAAGACGAATGAGACAACCTTGTAACTCTTGTGCGGTATACAGTGAGCCAAGAAGACAACGTCGGCACATTGCGAGCGCAGATCTCATCAGGCAAAGTCTCGTCATTCTCTCTCAATAAGATACTGATCAATAAACATTGCTGTTTATGCGTTTTATGCGAGCGCTTGACCTTATCGTCGAGTGCAAACACAAAGGACAAGCCATAATGATACATACATCCGGATCTCGGCCTCGACGATGGATTTAACGAGCCAAAGTCGTTGTATGCCGCATGCCTGATAAGCAAAATATTCCTGCGCCAGAATTCAGTTGTATCCTTTCAAGCCTGGGACGAAACCCCCACTTCACATGCCTTTATAGAACCCTTGCGTATCTTACTATTTATGCGACTCTTGATCAAGCCCGCTCAGCGAGTCTTTCTTTTGATCTCAATGCACACACTTCTGTTGCCGTTGACTTTCTCGTGCCATTTTCCAGGGAATTAGACTGAATGATACTCCATTCATGGGTCTGTGAGACTGTGTCTACAGTATATTTGCTAGCGGAGAAAGGGAATGTCTTACACACGCGCCCGTTTACCAGCTCGCCAAAGCCATTTCTAGTCCAAACGACCCCAGCTCCAGATGTTGAGCCCAACCTTGATGCCCTTCTTCACAGGCAAGCCAGCGTGCCATGTTTCCTTCCATCCCCTGCCCGTGCCGTCGGGCATAAAGTTCTCCCAGAACACAGCGTTGCCGGGGATGGGCTTGAACGTGAGACCGACCTGATCCTCTAGCCCTCGCTTTTCCGTGTCCTCCTCATTGTCCGCCGCCGCGCCTTGCCCACCATCCGGCCCGGCGGCGCACTCGATCCACTGACACCACTTATCGTCGGGACCCCTCCGGCTCAGTAGCGGGAACTCTGTGCCGCCGCCCTCGAGGTCTTCGGCCGCGACCCAAACCATCATGCTGCTGGCGCGTCCCCAGCCCCGCGCGCCGCTGCCCCAGTCAAAGTGGTGCACGTAGTGGCCGCCCTCGACGTACTTTTGGGTCCGCAGCCGCTCGATCCAGAGGTCGTTGCGCCAGCCCTGGAGACTCAGCGCACGCGACTCGATGCACCGCACGGTGTCATCGCGCGGCAGCAATGCCACCGACGAGTCGCGGATGCTGGTGTTCTGGTGCGTGTGGCTGCCATCCGACGTGGTGGTCGACGGAGCAAAGAGCGGCTCGCTGTATGCAAGGCAAAAGACAGAAAGTCAGTATAAAATAGAATAAAAAAAGCGGCAGGTTCAAACAAGCTATATAGGACTTGACGTTTAGATTAAGTGCACCTCCCCCGCCAAGAGTATACGATCAGTAGGGTGGACGTCTACTATAGACTCGTGCAAGGGCGATGGCGTGATCGCACGGGGTTATATGCAGGGGCAGATCGTTTACCTCAGCTCTAGCAAATGGCGTCTCTCGTCGGCCGAGACAAAATTCTCAATGTACACCACCAGCGGCGCCTTGGATAGGATATGAACAGCGTATGCGTCCGCGTCGCAAACCGGGACCGTGTCACCCGGGCTGTCAATGGCCAGCAGGCTCTCGTTGATCGCTGGGCGTGGCGTCCTCGGGATCCTCGCCGGCTGTGGCGAAAGGTACTGCACCAATGGATTATATAGGAGCAGGACCGCAAAGAGGCCTATCACGTATGAAAACATGATGGATAATTGAGCATGGTACGATTGGAAAAAAAGAGAAAAATACAAGCTCGAAGTTTGAACTTGTCGAAGTGATCCTATAAGTCGCGCTCGTCGTATGATGGATGATTGGCGTGGCTTTGCTTAGCGGATTGCAGGGGTGTGTTGGCCCCTATTGCGCACCATTACATAACCATTTGTGGTTGTGACCTTGCTGGTTATTATGTCCTACGCCTTCCTTGGAGAGAGAATATATCTACGTGACGTCGGGATGATCAGAAACACTATGTTTCAATATTGACCGCAGGTTATTATTACGTTATCCAAGCTTGGTGAGTGCCTCTAGCTTATGACCTATATGCTGGCTTGGATCGATGGAAGCAATACTACATGTATCTTCTATTGAATCTTCTTTGCCGCTTCGGCTTTTGTTGGTTGGCCGTAGCCAGACCGTCCAAAAACAGCCAGCAGTTTCCATACAACCCAAGCGAATCCTATCAAGACTGCTGTTCCGGTAAAGGTGCTCACCCAATATGCTTTATCCAGATCCAGTACAGGAACCGATCCATTCAGCATTAGACTGCCATTTTGGGGGGCAGGATTGAGGTGCCAGAAGAGTGTCCGGGGCCCAAATAGACCGTCGTAACCTAGGTTAATTCGGTCAAAAGGATTTGTTGGGAATTTAGTACCCTCCTCTGCTGCACATGTCCAAAACACAGCGGGATAAGGTAGGTTGAACGATGCCTCGCCCCCTGAGCGTGGTGCTTGGTAGCGCAGGTGAAGGGGAATGTCTGCTGTGAAACCCTCGCCCGTCTCAGGCGGCTTAAGTTCAAGCAAGGCGCTGGATCCCCAGAGCTTCATGACGTAACTAGGCGCTTCTAAATCAACAGGCTGGCTTATATAACGCAGAGCAGTTAAGTTCTTGGAGGAAAGAAAGAGCGAATCATCGAACTGGTACTTGTCGGCAAAAATAGTGTTTGGAAGTGTAAAATATGCGTGAAGCGAGCAAAATGTATCGGCCATGGGGGGTTGGCTGGATTCGATGCTCAATTGCAACGTCGGATGTAAGCCCAAAGGTGAGGAGAAGCTGGAGTTGAAAGTTGCTGTAGAAGCTTTATGCCGTGTGGGGAATGAAAACATCACGGGCGATGGTTTCTTGTCTTCTCCCAGGACAGTCAGAAGGCCTGCAACTCCGAGTTCATAGTCCTCCAAGTGTTCAGGGTGATTTGGCGTCAGCAGACCGACTTCAACTCTATGGTCTGAGTGACCAGTGACGTCCAGAGGCTGCTCCTCGAAGCCCCATAGCACAGTGATCTTTACTACGTGGGATATTGTATCGTATGAAAAGTCCAGTGATTTGGCACTCTTGAGGTCATCTATATGTCTTTTGCAATCGTCATCGGCGGCGGAACATAGGTACTGGGATGCATATTCTGAGAAGCTGCCCAAATCATCTAGTGGAAGATAGGCTTGGTAGGCAGTGGAGTGTGAGAACCGATCGTTGGGCAGCCTGGAGAAGTATCGCTAACAGATTTGTGAGCCGCAGTGATCAACAGAATTGCATCTTGGGCAACTTACCAGAGATTCAGAGCAGTTCTCAAAGGGCACGAGGTTATGAAGAAAGACGCATATAGGGTCGCTCGAGTTTTCTGCTTCTTGCGGTGTATAGAAGACGTGCAGACCTGCAGGCAGCCTAGAAGTCCACGGACCAGAGGCCAACGTGTCATATGTAGTCGAGGGAATCCATCTCAAGTGAAGCTCTGGGGTGATCTCCAAGAGCTGCTGCAACTCATGTGGTAGCTCTTCGAGACCGAAGGTGAAGCGGTCTTCGCGGACAGCTTTGATGTTGGGTCCGGTGATAGAACGGCCGCTCACCTTTAGAGCCAAGGGATCGATGGCGTCGTCATTATGGTGGAAGAAGGTCGTTCTTTGACGCATAATGTACGAGCTTGCCCGGGTCTTGATCAATCTGCAGCTCGAGTCTAATCGGCTTGCAACTCGGAGTATCAGGCGAGGTGTTGTATGAAGGTACAATGTTGATTGCCCACTCGGCTGGCACCGATACTCAGCAGACCCTTGTCGTCATATGGCCCAAGCTCCAGACGTACGTACAATGTACCTGACTTCTAGGCCTTCCAATACGCATAGCCAAAATCTGATTCGATCTCAGAGCATGCAAGTTGTTATTATGGATAAATTTGAAAACTCATGCATATATCGTTTGTGTACTTCTAGTTGTTGGGATATTATACCGTGAAAAAATATCTATCATGCCCTTGCAGGGACACGGGCGATTAATGTACTCGACGACGCAGCTGCACTGGACAGAGGCCAGTCAGTCATCAGTCTGCTGTCTGCACATTGATAACGCGGATAACGACGCACAGACCAGACGTTGCCAAGAGTTTAGTGGCTTTTTATTACACTGATCCCCCCAAATGCATAGCCAAATGCACGACGCCTCTAGCCGGTAGCGTGGCAGCGTTCGAGCGCGCCTGATTAAAGATTTCGAGCAAGCATTTTTGAGGCTACTCCACCCAATTCTACCTGTCCCTCCATCAGGAAACATAACTTTTTTTCTTCTTCCACGGCAGCGTTTGCACATACAATAACCTGCGACAGCAAACAATCAATGGCCACCCTCGGGCAATGACCTAATGCAAAGTCCATTAGGCTGAGAGAGTTCAAGATTCGAGGCGCCCTTCGCATCTTAACTTGCCTAGCCGCCTGCAACATCTTGTAGTTGATTGCAGTCTCTGTCTTGATCCAATAAGCATCATGGCAGCCCTTACTCCAGCCCAGTTGGAACTTGCTAGGTAGGAACATTCCCATCATCTTGCGCTCGCCATATTGGCATTGATTGACTTTGTCTCCAGTTCCCTGGCACAGGACGAGTTGCCTTCGAAGTTGAAGTGCGCCAACTGTAATAAGCTTGCGGTTAACGCTTTCCGACTGCCGTGTTGCGAGACAGCCATCTGCGAAACCTGTATGTGATGTATTCTCCCAAACATAGGACAATGGAATAGTCGCTCACCTTGGTGTTCTTAGGCCAGTCAACGCTCCCCTCCTCGTGCCCTGTGTGTGAGCATTCGCCAGTCTCGGGCGATGACTGTACCGTATACAAGTCCCTGCGAACTACGATCAGAGTTTTTTTGAAGACGGAAGAGAAGAAGCGAGAAGCAGCGCGACCAAAAAGCAACGATTCTCCGCCGCTCACACCTGTTGAACCCACTCCGACTCCAACACCTACAGTCGCAAAGTTGCCTGCCGAATCGACTCTCGATGGCAATACCACCTCAGCACCCCCTGCCGGCTCTGAAGGTTCAACTGAACAAGCTGCTTCAGCTACAGGCGAAACTATACCCGACGCCGAGAATCATCAGTCAAATGAAGACGAACCTCAACAGGTAGGCATGAAGAATGAAACGCTGGCCCGCGGAAGAAGCTCACATTCGCAGGTTGATGAATCATTACCTCAGCCAAAGGACCAAGACGCGAATAATGCTGAAGATGAGGCCGTGGAGCCACAGGCACCCAGCGCCAGCGACCAACAAGACGAGACCACCAATGGAGATGATATGGAAGGTCAAGACTCATCCAAACAGAACGACGATGATTACGAGCAAGAGTCCGGCGATTATTCGAACGGTGCAGGTTTTGATGGTACAGGCATGAATCCCATGCAGATGCAAATGATGATGATGCAGAACTCAATGAACCCATCCTTTGGAGGGTTCCCAATGATGGGTAAGTCATACCAGATTCCTCAAGCAAGTGCTCGTATTGACCACTTTGCAGGCATGGGCATGGGTATGGACCCGATGGCGATACAGAACGTAATGATGAGTGGAGGCTTTGGGGCACAAGGCATGAACATGAACGGCATGAACATGAATATGGGCATGAATGGCTTCAATGGTGGCAGCAATGACTGGAACGATCAGCAATCCTGGCAAGATAATTTCAATCCAAATGCTACTGGCATGGCCAACGGTGACTTTGGCAACTTTAACTCGGGCTTCCAAGGAGGCTACAATGCAGGTAACTATGGCCAGTTCAACGGACAAGGCAACTACCAGTATCGAGGCAGAGGTGGCCGCGGTCGCGGCTGGCGTGGTGGCTACGGTCGTGGTGGCTACAACCAAGGCTATCAGCGTCACTATGGCCAACAGCAGATGTGGAGTCAAGACATTGCGCAGCATCCCAGCAATAACTTTATGTCGCAGGAGGGCGCTGGTGGTGAAGATGACGGAGCGCAGAAACCCGGCAACACAGATGAGTTTGGCAGAACAGTGCCTGCGAACGGGGAGCCGGATGCTGCGGGCCAAGATCCCCATGGAACGGAAGGCACTGATAATGTCTCCGGCGAAGATCATGGTGAATCTGGCATAGCCAATGGTGATGTCTCCACAGATTCGTACTCGCGACCACAAGGCTTTTCGTATGGTGCTGGCGCTCCCGCAGCCCCCAATGCACCGCTGAATGCTCCTACTGGACCCAAGGCTATGCGCCAGGGGTTGCCAAACACCAGTACACTGCATCTGCGCGCTCGTGGCTTCATCCAAGATCATCGTCCTGCAATTACTGATAGCCCTGTCGTCGAGAGTCCCATTCAGGATGAGCGACCACGGTCGCGGAGTAGTTCTCGGCACTCCCAGCATACACGTGACAAGACGGACCGTCTATCTGACCAGGACAGAGAAGATTATGGTAATGACAGAGACGAGAAGAGGAGCAGGGGTAATGACAGAGATCACGGTCGCTCTCATTCTCGATCTAGGAACCGAAGTCATAGTCAGTCTCGCGATAGGGACCACAAGGATTCGCAGCGGAACAGAAGACATCAGTCGGAGGCCATCACAGAAGGCAACCGAGATGATGACAGCCGTAAACACAGGCATAAATCCCGACGGTCAACCCGAGACGACGACTACAAGAGTCGGCCCAAGGATGACAAATACGAGGAAAGGTCGAGGTCTGGCTCGCCAGACCGTGACCGTGAACACAGGCGTTCTGGACATAGAAGCCATAGGGAAAAGGAACGCGACAGCGATCGTGAGTATCGTAAGAAGTCAAGCCACCGTTCCCGACACGAATACGAGCGAGAGCGAGAGCGTGACCGAGATCGACCTCGTGATCGAGATAGGGACAGAGACCGGGAACGGGAGAGGGATCGCGACAGAGACAGGGATCGTGATCGCGATCGAAAAGAGCGCCGACGAGACCGTGATCGCGATCGGGACCGGGACGGAGAACACCGACACAGAAGCAGTCGCAAAGGTTCTCGTGAGCCTTCAGTGTCCACCGATATGGCAGCGAAAGATTTCAATCCACCTAGTGGACCTCGAGGTAGCAGCAGCAGCATCGCTGCCAAGGGTTCCAGTTCCATGGCTGAGTTTTCCATCAAAGGTGCCAGTGCGAAGACAAAGTCTTCGTCGCATCGGCGTGATAGTGAAATTTCGACCTCACGACGTGGTTCTCACGCCTCGACTGCTGCTGCATCGAAGGGTGCTCCTGCTGCCCCTGCCAAAGACCCCCATACTTTAGAGCGTGAGGCTAGAGACCGAGAGAGACTACTAAAAGAGGCACAACGGATGGCGGGCCTTGCCGGTCTAGCTGGTCTGAAGCGAAGTCGGGATGCTGGTGATGATCGTGGCGGCAGACGCAAAAATCGTCGCGGCGAGTCTGCCTCTGAGAGTGATGAGCAACGAATGAGGCGTCTCGAGGCAGAAAGAGAGGGAGACCGTTGGGATTAATACAGCATGCCTCACTGTTAGAGAGCGAGGATGGGCGTGACTTTCGCCAAGGTCCTTGAAGCTCGTTGATCATCTTATGGAATTGCACCTTGCCCTTGGAACAGAGAAATCTCTCAGTCTTGACCTGAAGAACCTGTGGCATTTAGCTTCACGTTGATGCCAGTGTAAAGCAACGAATGACGCTGTCGCGCTCGGGTTTGGACGTGCGACGACATTCTGTAGCCGCAGAGGGAAAACAAGCGACAACCAAAAGGTGTCGTCGTCATACAACTGTATAACGTGTACATATTAGATTGTATGGGTCTGTAGGCTATTTGTATTGATGGGAATTGGCTCATTCCGAGCAATGACAAATCAAGGCCGACCATAAATCTCATCCCAAGCATTGAATAAAACTAATCAATGAGAAGATTTGGAGCAATACAACGATCCTCAAAACATCCACGCGATTGTACAGTGAGAATTGGTATTAAGTTGCAGTGCAAATCTGACAAGACACGCTCTTTTTGACAATATCTATAACGTGCTTTCTGGTCATACCACGACAATTGAGTCTTGTTCCAATTGTTCCACAAGGAATGGACTATACTATAAATCCTCATTGTCTGGTTGGCATGGACAAAAGGCAGGGATGTCTATACCCTGGACGGGCGATGATTGAACGCAATGGGTATGTAGGTGTTTGTGTAGTCGCACGAGACAACCGATATCGGATGCCTGTAATTACCATAAATAACATTGAATGTTTGTTCACAGATACCCCAGATCGACGGATTTACTTGTGGTGATCTTGCTGATAATGTGGACATTTATGCTGTATTACACACACACACACACACGAGGCGATTATAAGCATTCTCCGCAAATGCTGGTTTGCAGATCTCAGTTCTGCTCCGCATAAACTGGGTGTCAACTAGTGCAAGTCATTCATGATTCGACTGGAGCGCAGAAATGTATCACGGTCCGATGCGAGACTTCTTTTGGTCAGTGTGGGGACGATGATGATGGGGGCACACAGCAGGGCAGGACAAGGACAGGACAGGACCCAACCGAACCGAACCCAGCCCCAGCCCCAGCCCTGCCAACTTGCAGGTTTTATCAAAAGCCAGATGTCAATTACTCGTGAATTATTAGTTATTCTTTTTTTCCCTGGTACAGCCGTTGAAAAAGAAGTCGGGCGTCAACAAGCAGCTATCAGATTGTCAACCTGGAGATCTGAGATCTGTCAGATCGATCAATTTGTGAGAGGCGCCCGCCCTATCGATTGGTGTGCCAGCCAGCAAAGCACCTTGACCCTGGGCCAGTCAGCAGTCCCAGGGTGTCGAGCACCACCTTCAGTGCTTATTTGCACGTTCGCCTCGTAAGGCGGCATCAAGTTTGGGAGGGTGCGACGTCAAACTACTTGCAGTAGCGATTTGCCCAGCTTTGCTTCTTGCTGCCACTTCGTATCACTGTGTGAGATCATTCATCACTCTCACACCGGCACAGCTGCCAGTCATCCATCCCTCCCCCCATCCATCAATATTGGCTAGGATAGTTCTAGACTCCAACCCAGGCCTTGACAGTCCCAACTCTCTGGGCGTGGATTGCCGCAAAGAAGGTCGCACACCTTGAATTGCACCAAATTCTCGGGCCTGCCGTTTAGCAGTGGTTGAGTGACAGACCGGGGTATCGGCAATTTGTCAATTTTTTTTCTGCTGCCTCCTTCGTCAGCTTCCTTCTAGAAGTTGCACAGAAGCTAGGTGATTGCAACTAATTTTTCTCAAAACAAAATTACCCAAAAACCAAGAGATAAAGAAAAATTTCCCTACCTTATCAACTGGTAGCATTGTTAATCGCTAGTAGTAGCTGCCACTCTCAAAGCTACTACATTCGTACTTTCTTTCTCCCGCCACACAGAACAAACAGATCAATCAACCAACCAACCACACAGACGTCACACCACTGGATTCTCACATCACCGGGCGCATTGCATATACACACACATACGTACATGCTGCGTCTCTGAAGCTCAATTCGGGTCACGCGCACACACAAAGACATTGAACACAATTGATCCCCCCGCTCCGATTGCGCAACTAGCTCCTTCTTGTTGCTGTTGTTTGTGCGCAACAAGCTCAACAACGTCCTCAGCACAAGCAGCGTCAAATCATGCATGCGCTCCTTTGTCTCTCCGTCGCTGTTTTCGACCTTGTAAGATCAGACAAGCAGCTCTCTGGCTTGTTTGGCCGTCAACCCTAAACGGTCGCCCACAATGGCAATGCACGATGCGACCAGCCTCGCTTCCGAGCTACTGAACAAGCTTTCGGAGCTCGAGCAAAAGGTGGAATCCCATCGCCAAGACATGGCCTGCGAATTTCAGAGATACTCTCGTAATCTGCTGCAGAATGTTCCCAATGATCTCTCTGCCAGGGTTGAAAAGACCATCAAGGATTCCATGCACCAGTATCCCGCCCTCCAACCAGCTCTAAACCTCGACAATCCATTCAGAAATGAGTCACCGAGGAAGACTCACATGGATAACGATAATGGGCACAGCAACACAACGACGGCGACAGACACCCACTCTCCTCCTCAAGACAAGAAATCCACCAAGCCTTCACCACCGCCACCCCTGCTGCCTCACAAGACTCCCGCGCCATCTTCGTCCGACAATGACAATACCCCGAGAAGTCCGCACGAGCGCGAGAGAGAGTTTCAGGGTTTGTTCACACCAAGTTACTTGCCTTTGCTTGATGGCCGCGAGAACGACAACAACAGACTGCCGCCTGCACCAGCACCCAGTTTACCCGCAACATTGCTTCCGTCTCCAAATCAGAGCAATGAGCTAACCAATGTCTCGGCCAAAGACGAGAAAACAGCGGTGGGCTTGACTGTAGCTATAACTCGACCTGATCCCGTCAGAAATCCCACCGAAGAAACCATCTCCTCCGTCGCATCAGATGACAGCTCCAGTAAGCAACATCGGCGAAGTGCTCTTCGTCGTTCCTCGAGCTCATCTGCTAAAGCCCCCAGCCCTCGCCGCGTGCGCTTCGAGGTTGAGGGTGGAGAAGTGCTGCCTACTGCTTCGCCACTCATGTCACCTCGTGTCATTGAGCACATGCAGTCACCACTCTCTAACACGACCAATATTCTGTCCTCATCGTATGACTCAGATGCTCCCGAATCAGTAGACGATGGTGCAAGTCTCCTGGGCAGCTCCCCACCACAACCCAGGAAGACATCTTCAACAGATAAGCTCAAGGCTATGGCACGTAATTCTTCCGAGGATACCTCCCAGTGGTCCTTGGTAGGCAATCTACAGGATATGGACGCAGACGAGGAAACCTTGGTCATGGGCTCGCGAAAAGGAACCAAAACAACCCCAGGAGCAACGTCAACCAGCACTGGAGGCACTGGACGGCCGAATGTGGAGAGGATCTCAGGCACGGTGGAACATGTGGAGACGGTAGAGGCTGACCCCAATGGATCCGAGGCCTACGATGAGGAAGAGGATGATGATCTTCTGGAAATGCCTGCATTGACTTCCTTCAAGACCAAGAAGCGATTTTCACCTCCCCAGGCAAGCATTAGTGAGCCAGATTCCAAGAAATCTCAGGATCAAGCCACCATCACAAAGGCTTCTCAGAACAACATGAGGAAGTCTCAAGGTGTTTCAATCAAGCCTCAGTCTGTTGAAAGCAAACAGACGAAATCTCAATCGAACACCAGCATGCAGTCAGCTACCCTGGTAGAGGACGATGAGCTGTTTGATTGGGAAGAGGACGAGGATGCTCCTGTGGACCAAAGGAGCAAACAGGGCTCGGCACAGAAAACATCCAAATATCTCCCGGATGTGGAAGATGAAGATGTTGATGAGGCTGTTGAGAATGAGCCCGAGGTAGATACTACGACTTTGCTCTCAACGTCGCCAGCAATTCCTATTGCCAAACCCGCACCAGCTGCAACATCTCCACCTTCAAGACATTTCAAAGAAGCCGTTGGATCATATAACGGGAAACCGTTTACGATATCGAGTGTCAAGGATCATTCAATTCTCGAGAAAGCAGCGAAGATGGGAAATGTTTATTCATTCGTTGGCAGCGTTGATGGTCGAAGTGGCGTGGATGAGTCCACGAGTTATCGTCCCGAAGTGGTACCTTTTAATGGCACACCGCGGAGTTTTAGTCAGAGGCTCATGATGGAGGAATTTGAGGAATCGAGACGTCGAAGCCCGAGAAATGGTGCAAATGAGTGAGGTTGGACCGGTGCGGTTTGTAGTAGTATGTGGAAAGCATCACATGAAAGCTGTGATGGGCGAGGCTTGGGAATCCGTAAATTGGCAGTATGACGGCTCATTTGCATGGGGACGGCGTTTTTAGAAGCATGAAGCATCTGACATATTGGCAGTATCCAAGGAAACGGCAGAGTGGACACATGCATACGCGGTAATGTTTCATAATGCCCGTCACGGATGACGAGTCGAGCGCATTTAAAGGGTTTTTTTTTTCCTTTCTGTTTACACTTGAGGTATATAAGCCAGAAGAGCACACTTCCGCGAGGACAATTGCTAATGTCAATTCGTAATGCTCAATGCTAGATTTGATTTACCATGTGCGCCCTGTCATGAACCATGTTGGAGAGATATACTGAGCCACAAGTTCATTCAGAGCTGACACTTGACGGCCAGCGGGCCGGAGCTGCGTGAGGTTTCGGTCAGCCTAAGACCACGAGATAATATTATCATCGTTAAATAAGCCCGTGACCATGAACAGAGTATGAAAAATATGGCATGGATATTGTTATACAGAGCCTGAGATCCATGAGAGGCTCGGCGTTCGCTTAAGGCAGGTTGATTGGTCGCCCTGCTGGCGAATCAATGCGCTTGGCTGCGTTGGGCAACTCAGATAAACTATATATATTAATTGCAACTTTTCCAACCCGTCTTAATAATAATGAGGGGAAGTTTTGATCATGACTCGGTAATCCCGAGCGGAAAACATGTAGGAGGACCAACAAAAGAAAGAAATGTCTATTTTCGTGACTGGCGACTGGACCCCTCATCTTCTTATGTCAAGGTCAAGTGTCGCGCGGGCTGTTGGCTGCAAATACATCGCGATGGATGTAACGCCGCCTTGCGACGTTGGAGACGATTGTTTCTGTTAATACGGAGAAAATTACCAAAAATACCAATGTTGTATCGATCAATGGTATGTTGACTTGGCATCTGGGTAGAATGCTCCGATCGCAACAGCGATGCTACTGGTCCACTGCAGATGACCAATGAATGGGAGCGATTTATTGTTTCTATTCATGGACACCAGAACTGCGGAGTGCATTTGTCCTCCCGGGCCTGGACTTGGGGCCTTTTTGGTCTTGCGGATCACATATCGGTACATTAAGGTAGTCACCTTACCCAGCAAGTGTGGAAATCTAAGGCGGAGAACTCGTTGCGAGGCCCAGTTCTCTACACACAAGCTCCTCTGGATTCCGAAACACTTGACCCGGGAACTTTCCGGATCGGCGCTGTTCGTCCGAACTCTCTGCTCATATAGCCATTTGCTATCAAAACATCTGATCCAGTGCCTGAATGTTCCGAAAGATGACGCTTTGTCATACGCTTAATTATGTACACAACCTGGCCTGTCTGAGTGCCCGAAGTCGGACAGACCTACCCAAAGCGACACTGCCATACTATAACAGGATACATGTATAATGCAAAGATATATATTTGCTTGGTCAAGGTGCAGTCTTTTACACTCCATGGTTATAATTAGCCCACCACTCGACCAAGGTCAAGACTTGGTTCGCACGCCATTAACCTTCCCTTTGAAGACCGCTTTGCCGTCTTACCAAACAAACAGGTCTATTTACGGGATGGATCTTGCCTTGATATATATGACTCTAGGATATTTGCTGTGTTATATTTCCCTAATGAGGAGGGGGAAAGCGTCTGGACTCGCTCGGTTCAGGAACAATATTGACTTTTAGCGAAAGAAAATCCAAGGCTATTGCGTAGCATCGTATGTCGATCCGGCCCATACCGATATCTTGTATCATCTAGGTCAAGGGGTCACAAAGAAAAACACCAAATTTGGCCATCATAAAGCTTGCGGCCAAGGTTTCCTAGAGATCGTTGCACAAACGCCACACGCCAAGATTGTAACCCTTCGGGGGTTGAGACCATGGCCAACAATCATGGTCGACGCCCTTGGACTCTATAGGTCTGCAGCACATGGCTTAATGATGGAATCTTATAGGATGAAGGAATACACAAAGATATATAAAGAGGGTGGAAATCGCCATCTCTTGGCTATAATATCCGACAATCACGACAGGCCAGAGATCAGAAGGCACAGGAATATTCATTCACTTTTACACTCGCTCATATCATACAAGACATTCTTTTCCAAGCTCACATAATGCATTTCTCCACATTCCTCATTGCGGCTCTGCCCGTTGCTGCTCTGGCTATGCCAGCTGCTGATCCTCAAGTCCTGACTTTCCCTGGGTAAGTATTCTATCTTCTTGTGCAGCTTTTTCCTATCCGTCATAATATTTTGCACTTGCAAGCTGGGGTGAGGATAGAATGAGCAATTCTAGTAAGAGAGGGACAAGAGCAAAATAAAGCAAGCCCATCCCATGGGCCAGGCTGGCTGTGTTTTCTACTGCCCATGGAACTCGGGAAGCCGTACTGACTACTCGTCTTTCCAGAAGCAGCAACAACCAGCCTGGTCCTGGAAACCCGGGAGGTCCTGGCAATGGAGGTGGCCACAACAGTCCTCACCCAACCACCACCAGCACCACCAAGCCTGGAAACGGTGGTCATGGCCCCAGCCCAACTCCCACCAAGACCTCGTCCAAGACCACGAGCACTTCCACCACCATCAGCACAACTTCTACCACATCCACCTCTTCTTCCAGCACCAGCACCAGTACCAGCACTTCCAGCAGCACTTCCACCTCTACTTCCACTTCCACCACTCTGACCTCCTCCACTACCAGCACCTCTAGCACCTCGACCACGTCGACAACAAGCGCCTCGACCCCCACCTCGTCGGCCCCAGCCGGCGTCACCATTAAAGGCATCTCGTACGCCGGATCCGGCTGCAACGCCGGCAGCGTGGCCGGGGCGATTTCGTCCGACGCGCAGACCATAACCGTGCTCTACGACAGCTTCATTGCGCAGGCCGGGCCCGGCATCACCCCGGCCGAGGCGCGCAAGAACTGCCAGCTCAACGTGCAGGTCGAGCTGCCCCAGGGCTGGCAGTTTAGCGTCTTCAAGGCCGACTACCGCGGCTACGCGTTTTTGCAGGACGGCGACAAGGGCGTCATCAAGGCCACGTATTACTTTTCCGGCGACTCTACCCAGATTGCCTCGGAGCTGGACCTGGCCGGCGCTTATGACGATAACTATCTCAAGACGGATGAGTTTGGTCTCGAGAGTACCGTCTGGTCACCTTGTGGCGAAGAGGGTCTGTTGAGTAAGTTTCTTGTCTAATAACCAAGTCATGATTTTTTGCCTGGGCATGGGGGAGAGCAAGATTTTGAAGTTTTGGGTATCGTGCTAACGTTTCTCTAGACGTCAACAGTGAAGTCCGAGTCACTCCTCTTACTACCACCAACACCGCTCTGCTTACTGTGAGTGATGTACTTCCAAAAATGGCCCAGTCAGTCTTTGCTAACATACATACTTAGGTTGACTCTACCGATCTCTCCTTTGAGACTGTTCACTATCTCCAGTGGCAGACTTGCTAGACTCGTTCATACAGGAATGTATGACCAGATCATAGTGTCGGGATGCCTGAGCAGTAGGTATCAATATTTCATCACCTTCTTTATCACTTCCTGGCAGCCCCGAAAAGGACGAGCCGGCATATTTCGTTGTTATTCAAAGATCGGAGGCTTGATTGCTAGTCAGATTTTATCGTAGATTTCTTCTCAAAATATTTACACTCAAATTGTCAAAGTCCATGCTTTAAGACTCAAATTTTGATGAGCTCGATACTACAAATTAGGATGCTATGGGAGAGCGGGAAATTTCTCCAAGTGGTATAGAAAGAAGTTGAAATAAAATTTGATTTCAGAAACAATGAAGCAGCAACATGTTTTTTTAAAGTTCAAAAAAAAGAAAAAGAAAAAAGAAAAAGCGGCGCCGAGTAACAGGCAGCACTGTTTATTATACAAGCGTCGAGTCATATTTCACAAGAGGCTGTGCCATTGCGAGGGTTTGAGGCGACGTATAAATTTTAAATTAAGCTATATTCGACCTGCGACCAAAAATAAAGAGTAAAGTTAAAGATGGTCTACATCGACGAAGTTTAATGTTTGAAGAAACAGAATTCCAAGGGTATCTCTTCCAGTTGTGTCACCTAAAGGGTGTCAATAACAACACATGTGCAGCCACGCTGTGGCGCATCATGTATAATTGGTATATGTTTATCGTTTTGTTTTTTTCGAGTCTTCTTCCAAACCTCCCCCATTACCACAAGAATGCACGCGTGAGTCTGGTTTCACCACAAAAAAAAAACACCGAGGAAAGGGGGGAAATTATCCCCTTCTCGGTCTTGGAAACGACGTCTATATCTAGTCATGTGCGGTACACACAACTTCGACAAGCGTAATCTAAAACGTCGCCTTTAGGGTGGGGGAGTGGACGCACCTGATGATGATGGTGGTGGCGTACAGTAGCAGGGTGTCAAGATTTCCATGACATGATTCTCCTTGTTTTGTTCAGCTCTTGCGTTCTCCTGCCGCCACTGCCACTGCCGCTGCTGGCAGGCCTCTTCAAATTCCCGCAAGGCCGCTGAACCAGCTGCGCGAGGCAAGGGATGAAATGATCCCCTTGCCATGGGAGAATTTTCCACGGCGGCGGCGGCAGCAACTAATGGTATGATACTTGTCCTGATCAAGGTCGTACCATGCGTGATGATCGAAGCTGGGGGTGACGTCGATGTTCTTGTCGTGGTCCATGTTATGGTCTTTGTCGCTGTCGTACTTGTCACCGCCTGTGTCGTTCTACTCGTCGTTACCGGCGGCGGCGCGTTGGCGAAGAGATGTCTCCCAAAGTCCTCCATATCGGCTGTTTGTCTGCGGGATGACTGTAGCGTTTGTATATGCACTCTGATCTGGCTTATGTAAATAGTTCTTTCCGGTAAGGAATGTTTGATATTGTGTTAACTTAAAGAGGAAAGTCATTCCAGAGTATCGCTGGGCGGAAGAATTATATATACACAAAATCCTCAGATTGTAAATTAGGTATATACATAGCCATAGAGGTAGATTTTCGTCCTTGTGCGGCTGAACGCCTTAAAAGAGTCTTCAAGCACCCTGAAACTTTATACACAGCTCACAGAAATACGTCGAAGAATTGCCATTACCACAAACGACAAGGAGTCTCTTATCGGGGCCACTCTCAAGGTTTATAAAGCGCCGATATTCACAGCCAAGTGACTCCCTCTCCGGTTGTAGAGAAAATCGGATGGCTTGACACTCGTATTTCAAAGCATTTATTTTATGAAATTGGCCGAGCTCTCATAAACTGTATCTGCTGACTATAACTTTATGGAAGCACAACTGTGCAGCAGGCTAATATCCCTAATCATTTGTTTTGAGATTGGGACTCATCATTGCCTATCTTGAGGTGCACCGGACCTTTGCATGACAGAGTCTGGGTGGGCGGAAGTCGCGCTGCCTTCTTATTTCCATGGCAGCTTCATTCCTATCTTCTCTGTTTACTAGGATATTTCACCCCCTCCAAATAATAGAGAATCGCCGCTTTACTTACCACCGTATCGACTGCCTGCTTATATATCCGAGAAAGTCATCATCTAGCAGTACACTCGGCCCCAAAGACACCAGCTTCGGCAAACCCCAAGCCGCCAAAGGCAGCCATGCCCCAACCAAGAGCCGCGCTCTCCCAGTCAAGCTCGTCGGGTGGTGGCAGTATGTCGCCTTCGCTAATTTCGCGTGCCACTGCAGGCTCTGGCTCGTAAGTTTTGTCCTCATGGGCCATGTTCTTCTTCGGCCTGCCACGTCTCTTAGTAGTGGCGGATGCCTGACCATCAGTTGCGGCATCCGAGGAAGCAATACTGGCTACACTGGTGCCGCGTGACTTTGGACGTCCGCGCTGGCGCAATGCTGGCGTGGATTCTGCCAAGGGCGATTCTGGAAAATTGTCCTCTTCTTTGATAGATGAAAGCGTGCTGAGACTGGAGCGCTGGGCGCCTTTCGGGTCAGATTTGGCCAAGTACGGAAACGTGGAGGCGATGATGCCTTGCACGTCGGTTGCTCTGACGGCGCTCCAAAATCCGAGACTCAGCGCACTGAGCAGAACATCCCATCCCACAGCGGCAACCACTGGGTGATCTATGGTTGATCCTAGAATCTTGCCTAGCGCGGTAGTGCTTTGCTCCCACATGGACCGTTTCTCTAAATCCCAAGGCAAAAAGCGAGAGTGTCGATGATAGTACGAATCCGGCATGTTATATCGCAGGCCAAAAAAGGTAGCCTTGTCATGTAGGGCAAAGCTCGCAAGAGATATCAAGCGGAACAGTGTAGTGTAAGAGCTGAAGGCATCATGCGGATGAGGATGAACAGTACCCCAGGATACTGGAGCAACCTTCGGCAGAATAACGGGGAGGAATGTGGACAGCCGGGTGATCAATAAAACTTTGACGAAAGAAGGTGTCTCGGCAGCGTAGGGCAGGACGAATAAAGAAGTAAAGTTAACCGAAATTGCTCCGAGGAACAAGATTGGGTGTGGGCACCAGTTTGTTGGCTTTGGAGGCAGGACGGCGTTGCGAATGCGGATCCAAGTTGAAGTCGGAAGAGGGACTACGGGAACCTCGAGGTCGTCATCGCCAGAGATTGGTGCTGGAGTCAGGAGCAGGGCGAGATAAAAGAGGTTTTGCGCAAACGAAAGGCTGACAAGGTGAGCCAAGGCCAGGAATGCGGTGACGAGAGGGATTCGTCTTCTGCGGCCCTCGATCGCCAGCAACAAGCTCCAGGCAATGATACCAAGGTCAACTTGCTGTCCCCACCAGTAGCGACGTGCCTTTTCGGCAACAATCTCAAAAGCGTCGTAGTAGACTGGTGTATCGTGTAGCCATTGTGCTAGGTGCACTTGACTTGAGTTGTGCGTTCCAGGGAAGAATCCCCCGTCTCCAACGAACCTATCATACTAGTCAGCGTTACGCTGCGCGCAATCATGGGATGAGATGTGTTCCATACCGTGAGGGCAGTTGAATGCCTCTCTCATCAGCCCAGACCTTGTATGACAACGTCGCGTATGAGATGGATGAGTACGCGGCAGATACAAGGGCGACGGCAGCGAGGCCAGCAAATACAGGAGACAACTTTCTGCGCCATTCTTGACGCTGACGAGTATCCTGTGATGGTGACAAGGACTTGTATGAAGTGTAAAGACTTGCGCCTACTGCATACGTGAGGTATACGACCAGTCCAATGTGAGTTGCGGATACAGCCAAGGGGACATAGCTAATGTGATGGAGCCACGTCGAATTAGTGGATGTCGGCGGCCCAGTATTGAATAACAGGCTTGGGGTACTACTCACCTAGGCGGGTGCTCAATAGGCACGGGCGCCATCTTTGCTGGTGGTCAGTCACAATAGACTTTGTGAATCAAAGGTAATCTCTCTGAAAGAAATTAAGTAGTACGTGCCGCGTCGATCAACATTGAAGTTATACAGAACACACACAAGTCAAAAAGGTTGGCAGCTCCCGCGCCCAAAGATGTTGTTATTGATTAGGCGAGCGCGCAGCAATGTGGGATGACGTTTTTGTTTGCTCCTCTCCCTTTGCGGCTTTCAGGCTTGAAGCGCGTGTTGCTATTACTACCTTGTCGATAGCGTATCAGTACAACGATACGTCTCTATTAGTACGGTTATCTCACTGCCCAGGTACAATTCGAGCGTTTCCCCAGGGCGGGAGGGATGAAACGTAGCGCTAATCAGCGGAACTGAATCAGGCGCTAAAACCCCCCAAATCCACCCAACCATGAATCCCCCTGGGTTCTAGGCTTGCCCTGGCGCTCCTAGAGCAAATCGGAGATTCTGACAGGTCGCATATTGTAACCACCGTTTTCCTACCAGACACTATCGCAAGTCGCTTGCGCGAAAGCCAATTTTCCCTCCGCCGTCGCAACGATCGCCCACCTACAAAACAAGATAGTCGGAGCCCCAAAAGAACCACGACCGAACAGGCAATATGTATCACCTCGCCAAGGGTCTCTATCGGCTGGCCACCAGCAAGGAGGAATACTCTGTCATCCTGCTCGGCCTCGACAATGCCGGAAAGACCACCTTTCACGAGCAGACCAAGTCGCTGTTCATGCCCGAGCACCCGGACCCGAAACTCAAGACGGTCCCGACCGTTGGCCAAAACGTTAGCACCCTGACGCTGCCCGACATGTATCTCAAGATCTGGGACGTCGGCGGTCAGTTGTCGCTCCGGAAGCTGTGGCAGAGCTACTACGCCAGCTGTCACGCCATCATCTTCATCATCGACAGTACCGACATTGGTGACGGCCTGCTGCCGTTCGGCTCCGCTCCTGACAACGCTGAGGGTGGTTCCGGGGTCGGCAAGGAGACGCTTGGGCGGTTAGACGAATGCCGACTCGTCCTTGAGGATGTGCTGCAGCACACAGACGCCGATGGCGTGCCGCTGTTGATATTGGCAAACAAGCAGGACCGTGAGGACTGCGTAGAAGTCGTGCGGATCAAGGAGGGTCTGGTCAAGAAGGTTTTTGAGGGCGAGAAGTCGTCAGGCGTTCGGGATTCCCGGGTTTTGCCCGTGAGTGCGCTGACGGGGACAGGTGTCAGTGAGGCTATCGATTGGGTCAGAAGCCGCGTCAAATGGAACAAGGAGTCAAGACCACCTGTCATGCGGTAGAGACGAAAATTACTCATTATCGGCGAGGCGTAACATGGGCGATCTGCATTTCAAGCGGCATAGGGCGGCGTACGGATTAGATACTCCAGGACATTGGCCCTGAGAATCCATGTATCTTGTGGTGGGTATCATTATTTGCAATTCTTCTTCTTCTCTTTTCTTTTTGGCCCAATGACGCTTCTCTCTACCTCGCGTTCTCTGCAGACAGCTCAGCCAGGAGTCCTCCCTTGTCCCTCCGTTTCGAGTCCTCGGCCAGCTTCTGGTCAAGCATATTTGAGAATACCTTGACCTGCTGCATGGCAATGTTGGCGCATTGTACTAGCGACAAGGCTTCGACGGGTGTACCACCAAGCTTTGCGACCTGACATATCTCTCCGTGCTTGTTGAGACTGATTGTACAGCTGCTCACTCGCAACTGCTCTTCCAACAGCGTGGTATCCAGTAACACGATATCCCCATCGTCTCCGTAAAAGCTGAAAGTGATACACAATGGGGTGTGTAGCCAACTGAGCGGGACCGGCTCTCTCTCTGCCGGCGTGTATACCGTCAATGTCTCTCCCTCAATGCTTGTATCTGGTTTTCTAAAGTGCCGCAATGCTGCGACCACCGCCAAACATGAAACGTCGATGAGATTTCCGTCGTGCGACAAAACGTGCAGGTCTACTCTTATCGACCACACCTTCTGACCAGCAACCAGACATAACGACTCCGTATCGAGGGCGTTGGATCTTCGAACCGTCTTTTCAAGGAGCCGAGAAAGCAGAACCTCGGTTTCGGTTGGTCTGTTCACCTCGAAAGCCGGGGAGGCCATCGGGCTGAGCTCTGAACTGATTGCAAAGATGCCATCGAATGGTCTGTCGGGATACGGGGCAGTAACCTCGGCAGAGACCTTTGCAAGTACCCTGAGAGACAAGGTTAGCCGTCAAGATCGCAAACAACTAGCATCTTTTTGAACCAACCTCGTTTTGCCTAATGTGACGTCTGCAACTCCATACTGGTCTCCAAAGTTAAGTTCCAGCTTTCGAAACTGCTCGAATCCACGGCCGTCGAGTCGATGGCCCTCTTGCAGGGCCTGTACTAGGAACGCCTTCTCGTTGAGGGACGGCTCAGCCTCGCGCGGCATTGTCAATTGCTGAAGGAATGACTGCTGTTTTCTGTTCTGTGTACAACCGGTTTTACTCTGTACAAGGTGGGATGGCCTTCAATTGTATGGCGGGGCTCGAGCTCTGGTTTAGCTGCTGCAGCTCGGGGAAAATCAAATTCTTAGCGATGTTCTGCCAGGCGGTCAGTGCCCCAATGCGACCCAGGTGCCGGCTTTGCCTGCCTGCAGCGCCTGACCGTCTGCCACTAGGCTATCTTAGCCTCAGGTACTCTAGAGCTACTGCGATTCCGTAATTACTTCATACTAAAAGTCCATCACCAATTCAACCACAACAACAAAAGACAACAAGGCAAAGTCCATCTCTGTGCACCGATTACCGCCTTGTCAGACAACGCGCGAAAATGACTACAGCACACAGACCCACGTTTGATCCCGCGCAAGGCAAAGAAGCCCTGCGCGGGCCGGCCTACCACCAGCGTCTGCTACCGGCGTACACGCAGCTCAAGTTCAGACAACCGGGCCAGGGCGGCGATGCCGACGCCGACGAGCAGCGCGACCTGCGCGCCGAGCTGCTGGCCGCTGAAGCCGCCCACTTTGCAAAGAAGAACGGCACTCCCCTCCCGCCCGTGGGCGACGATGCCGAGGCTGTCTCGGGTGGCGCGACGGCCAAGAGACCCATGGCAATTACTGCGGACGGCGAGGACGAAGACCCGGAAGCAAAAAGGAGGAGGATATTGGAAGAAACGAGGGACATAGACGCCGACTCGGAAGAGGACGACGATGACGATGACGATAGTGATGATTCAAGCGACGATGACAGCGACGACGAAGAGGCGGAGCTGCAGAGGGAGTTGGAGAAGATCAAGGCAGAACGCGCGGCCAAGAAGCAAAAGGAGGAAGAGGAGCGTGCAGCCAGGGAGGAGGACGAACGGGAGAGGGACATTGCGCTCGGTAACCCACTCCTGAACAAGCAAAATTTCACCATGAAGAGGAGATGGGACGATGACGTGGTGTTCAAGAACCAAGCCCGCGGCACCGATGAGAAGGGGAAGAAGAAGGAGTTTGTCAATGTGAGTTCTGATCTCCAAGGAAAAAAAGTCTTGATGTGCTAACTTTGACTAGGATCTCTTGCGATCTGATTTCCACAAACGATTCATGGGTAAATATGTCAGATAAGGAGACCACGGCCCTTGAGGCATTGAACCTTATAAGCACACCAATTATGGCCTAGATAATCCTCTTGACTTCACCCCTACTTCTCACAACACCAGCCTTTTTGTCGATGAAATTCTTCTCATCCGCTGCAATAACGGTCAGATAATACTCGTCCTTGAATGCAGTAGCCATCTGCTCAAAGGATTTGACTTCGAACAAGGCACAGCCATCGAAATCAGCGAGCGGCGAAGCGGTACCAGCTTCTGGGCCAATGGGAGCCGCACCGGCATTCAGGGACGGCTGGCAATGAACCTGGTTTTGATGAGCAAAAGATCCGACACAAGATGAGGCGCCCCGAAGGAAAGAACAAGAACTTGCCTGCGTATACCCGACTATACCATGTTTCTGCGCCCAGGGTTTTACTAGTGGCCCATGGATAGTCTCCCAGTGATTATAGAATTGTTCGGGCGTGAGATCTGGCCTGCGCTTTAGAAAAGCGACGCTCATGAGCGTCTGGTCTGACTGGTTTCCGTCTGACATTAGATAGATGAGAGGAACGATATAGTATAAATATCCGACTAAACTCTGAAAATTTTTGAATTTATTATTCTTGGTGTTCCGAGATAGAACTTATTGTTACTCGATCAAAAATGGACCAAACAGATGGGTGTTTATAAACTATAAGCCCCCCCACACTTGCGGAAAAGCGCTGCCGAGAGACATCTTCCTTCGCACAAACGGCTTGATGTACGAAATATGTGCATGTTATCTCAATGTTCTATGGCTACTGCCGTCTATAGTTTTACCAGGCCTTCCTTGACAATGCATAATTGATTATTGCTCCTTCTTCTCTGCCTTTTTGGATACCACAGCTGTCTTGGCACTTCCATTTCTCGCTTCGTAACCCTTCAACCCGATCTTGACTTGCTCAAAACTTCTCAGTTTCCTCGAGATGGTTTTTAGGCTATCATACATCAAGACTGGTAGGATGGTCAGTTAGTTATGTTTTCTTTTTCTACTTTCGTCTCTAGGTTATAGAACAAGGGCTGTATCAGCAACAACAAAAGAGATTAAAACTCACAAGCAGGCACAACGACCCAGGGAAAGTTGAAGCCCACGTAGTAGACCCAAAAGTACAGAAACTCGGGCCGGCTATGCGAGCGGCCTGTGAAATGCGTCTCGACCAGGCTGGTTGAGTAGTACAGGGCCACTCCATACAGGTGCGCCATGCACATGATGATCTGAAGCGGATGGCGGAGTGGTGAGGCGGCCACGATACTCACTGCGCAGAGAAAGGAGAGAGGGCCCCATAGAAACTGTACATATTTTGCATTAGTTTGGTAAAGAAGAAAGAAGAAGAAGAAGAAAAGGTAAAAGCAGGGACAAAAAACCCCTGGATGTCAGGAAATTCGTCTGTGTAGATATAAGGGCTACGACGCCTCTGGGGAGTGAGAACTAACCACGGTGATGCTTTCGACGCTCAGCATAAATGGGTCCGAAGTCAAGTATCGCGAGTCGGAGAGGGCGTACTCCTTCCAGAGCTGGGCAAAGAGGTTCTGTGACGACGCAACGGTGGCATGATTCAAGACAAAGTAGCCTTGAGGAGAGGTTAATTGACCATGGTCAATCTATAAAGGGGCATTGACTACGCGTCGGGCGCAGGGTGGGTGTGTAAGTATATATACCTTCAAAAAAGCAGTGCAGCGAGCCACCTGAGTTTGGATTTGTTCATTAGCTGGGCATTCTTCCGACTGAGCATTCCCTCGATATCTGGATGATAATTTTCTAGTCCGCGGGGCTTTCAACTTACACACGATGAACCAACAGAAGATGACTAGTTGACCCTTTCCCAGGCTTGGGTTGAAGCGCAGCGCCAGCGTACTGGTTGCCAGCATGGCCGAGCCCAGCATGCCGACAAGCGAGCCTAGAATGACCGGCAGTGGTAATGTGTTGGCCGCATAGTGAGGAATGTCGACGCCCAGCGGGTAGTAGGGATGTGCGACTTCGGCAGGTTCAGCCATCTGTCCAAACATTCTTGACGCCGTCTTGGTCAGCTGCTTGTTTTGTTGTGTCGGCAAGTGTATTTCTTCTGACTCGAAAGAATGAGATGGAAAATCAAAAAGTTTTCAAGGCTGCACACCCCCACTGAAACGACTTCACCGACAGTATACTGTTACCGTTTTGGCATGAAGCGACTCGATACCTGGGCGGATGATGATTGGTCAATGGGGGAAGAAACAATAATACTATGTCCATCAAAGTTCCAGGGGGTTTCCAGGTTGTTCGGCTCCGGGTTGTTTTGGCGCGTCCTTCAAAAGCCACAAAAGCACGGGCCAGTGAGATTCGTGATATGATTGAGTAGCCGCGACGGCTCCGATCTATACTTACATGCACAACTAGCTGACGATTGGCTTCATCTTTTTAAACCCACCTGGATCCTGTTGTTGGTTATTCAATCGTCTCGCCGTCTCAAGACAAGTGGCAGGTTTCCCAGACGCAGCCAAAGTTGAAAGATTAGCTGTTCAGTTTGAATTTAGTGTCTTTTCTTAAGCATTGCTACAAAGCGCCAAACCTTGAACCATTTCTCCACCCTATATAATAACGAGACACACTTGAAGAGCTCACCGTCACATTCTATCCACGAAAGAATACACAATTATGTCATATTTCGAAGTCGCAATATCCTGGCTATTTAAGAATTTCAGAGGAAGGGATGCAAAGTTGTTTATAACAAATCCTGCATTCAGTTTTCATCCAACTCCAACAATATCCGTCACTTCGCCGGATTGTGGAGAAACAAACGGACAGCTCGGGGTGGAGTATACATTTGATGGAGCCGGCAAATTTCCCGAATTGAGTTGGCAGGCACCCGAACAAGTCAGGGCCAATATCAAGGAGTGGCTGCTGCTATCGGAAGACCCAGATGCTCCGTTGCCAACTCCCATAGCACACGGGTGAGACACAATTCTGCGATGCCTCCCGTTTTGTGTATAGCCCACACCCACTCACTTGCTGCGCAGCATCTACGGCGGTATTCCATCGAGCAAGACAACCGTTGTCGCTTCTGACTTTGAGATTGCAGACGAGGCCAAGGCTTCATTGAAAGGCGGCTTCCATTACGGAGTCACGAGACGGGGGACACCATATATTGCACCTCGACCTCTAATGAATCATGGGCCGCATCGCTGTAAGCCGCAAAAGTCCCACCAGCACCTTATATTTCCACTAACACAGTGTCTTCAGACTTCTTCTTCGTGATTGGCCTAAGTGAACCACTGGACCGACAGATGCTGGAGGCGAAAGCGACCAGAGAACAGATCGCCGAGGCAATTCAAGGAAAGGTGGTCGGATGGGGCCAATGGTTTGGAAGTTGCGAAAGAGTCTGGGCATAGGCATTGTAGAGGCCTCTGCATTTCATGAGTTTCAAATCGTAAATTCGTCAAGTCCGCAACAACCTCATGTGTGAATGTCGTCATCTTGTAGACTATGGAGCTATACCCGGAGCAATACCTGGACCCAAAAGTGTAGGCTCTATGTTCCAGTCAAAATCATCCATGAAGCTCCAATCAATATTGGCCAGGGGATCTGGCACCATGATTGCCGCTGGCGTCTCGGTTCCGTTTGCCGGCGGGGGTTGGCTCTTGGGCCGCGAATCCATGTCGCTCTTCCATCTCTTCAAGCAGTCAAATACAATCGACGCCGATAACCGGTGCGAAAATATCGACACGGGCTCTTCGTGCCACCTTACGAGCTGGGCCCAATTCCAGATTGACTCCAATAGGTTGCCGAGGCGCTCTGGCAAGTCGGCGTCCATGACGACTGACTGCCGACATGATTTGATGACTTCGTTTGCCGCCTGCTCGGCTTGTGCGCGGTCGAGAAAGTCCATGTAAGCAGAGCGTAATACCTTGTAAATGATACAGTATGCGCTGAGAAGACTTCTAAAGTAAAAGTGAGGCATATGTTTCAAAAAGCCGTGAGACTTTTCCAGCTCTAGGGCAACCTGCACAACAGTTTGAGCGGTCGTGTAGGCTCGGATCACATTACGCTTCAAATTTTCTGCATTATAGCCGGGGAGAGGTATCAGGTAATAGGCCTGTATCTCCAACTGCACCAACAAGGCATTCCAGCGATCAAGGTCGTCTAAAAGCGTGAGTAGATGTGAATGTTTGCCTGAGAAGAAGGCAACTAACCTGCGCGCTCTGAGCATATGAGCCCTCGGATGTGATCAAACTCATCCTCGAGGTGTCGCACGAGGTGAGAAGAAACGCCCCGGGTCTCGTCTAGGCATGCAGCCATTGTTTTGCTCACTCGATTCGCATATTTTTGACATTCTAGCAGCACACGGAAGCTACCAGAGACATGAAAAGGTGTGTTGCCATCAATGACATTTTGTACAGTCTGGTTGAATATACTTCCAACTGGAGGTAGCCCTCGATATTCGGCCATCCTGCTTATTTGTTAGCCATGCCATGGTTTGCAGACGAACGGATAGTACTTGCCTTTGTGCTGTGATGCAATATCCTGCCCAAGTGTAATGGGCCTCTTCATCACTAAAGTTGTTCTGGAACATGCCAATACTATATTCGGGATGCGATCCCTTGCCTGAGTGAATGCCTAGCAATAAAGCAGCATTCATGATTACACCCGAGAAGATGGAAGTTGGGTCATTGATGAACCGGACGTCCGGGAACACCCATGTGCTCACGAGTATAAGAGCATTGACAACATGGATTGATAGGGGCAATTTTGAAATGGCCGAGAACATTTCGGCTCGGACGGCTTCCGTAAGGAAGGACAGAGCCTTGGGATCGCGTGCATAGCGGCGACAGGCGATCATGATGATTGTCCAGAACAACACGCCGCCAGTCTCATACAGCTTATTTGGGTCACGATGCCGCACGATGGGCATATAAGGATGAAAATGTTCGAAATATCTGGATGTGTTAGCAAAGTCATGGCAATTCATGAACATACTTGGGAAGACAACTTCATGAAGTAAAAATCTATATCTGGACCGGAGAATGGCATATTGCCCAAGGCTCTAGAGAGACTCGGTTCCACATTTGCTTCTATCACAAACGTTGGCGCTGGAGTGAGCCCAGTAGAGGTGGTGGTTGCGTGATTACTACTGTGTGAAACGCTGAGTCTACTCAAGTCTGGCGACGGCATGCCAATCCGAGGCATGGCTTGATCTTTGAAGGTAGATGGTAACGCTGTGTTTTGCTGGGTGGTTGGGCGATCACCAACGCTCTGCTTGATAGACTGTATCTCTTGCACCAACTCATCCAGTTTGCTATCATTTAATTTAGTAAAGTGCCAGTGTTTCTAAACTTCACAGACAACTTACCTCTTCCTGCTGACTCTCTTGTGGGTCTTGTCAACGACACATTGCAAGTTGAGTTTTAAGCAACGCTGGCATGGCTGTGATGGATTTTGACTTGGGTTGCACCGAACCTATATAGTAGGGTCAGCCATACTCGACAATACTATTTTACTCGTCAAATCTTAAATGTATCACCACCCACCTTGGCATCTCGACATGATGTGCACGCCGTGTTCCGTTTGATACGAGTGGCTCCCGCCACGGAGCTCTCCTCCGGCATGGCGGCGTCGGCCCGGGGCCACGTACCCAGAACCTTATCCACCTTGTTCGGTAATGTATACAGCCGAGTTTCGAGATACAAGGTATTATGCACGTCAGCAGCGCTGCAGCTGGCTTGTCGGCTCGCTTTTTTTGAATGATTAAAAGGCAAGGTAAGACGAGCTCGGAGCCGGATCGGCGGGGAAGAGAGACATATGCCTAGAGATGGCCCGTGCACCCGGGTTTAGGCATTCTAATTATTGCCGGAGCAAAAGTCAAGACAAAGTTCCAAAAGATGACGATGCTTAAGAAGAGAGGAGGGCTATGGGCTAATATTAAAGGAAAAAAACTTCCATTTATTCCCTTCGTAAATACGCTAGAGTCATATCGCTTCTGCCAATCATCATCTGCATCGGCGTTAATATATTGTCTTATCCCTCCAAGGCTCCAACTATGAAAACAATGTCATCTACCCACACTACATACTTCTTTCAAGAACCCTGAGGAATTTTGGGAGGTGAGAGGGCATGTTCCGTTACATATTTGAAATCTTTTCTCGTTGAGATTATGTGCTAGAGTCATACATACACAATACAAGACTGCACAACTGCTGCTTCTTGTCTATAACATCTCCAAATGTAGTCGAACAACAGTTTATACAGCCCGGAATATACCACTTGAACACCAAGCAGGCTCTATTTGAAGATCCCTTTTGAGTGAGCATCAAAAACACCGAGACAGTACTGAAGTCTATCCCTACAAACCCCGTTGCATTCATCAAATTCATACCATATACCTCAGATCATACACATGGACGACGTTCACAAACGAGAGAACAAGAGCGGTGCCCGTTGCTTCAGTAAATTTGATGTCAGCGAGTCTGCCACGTTTTGCGAATTTCCCATATCCTACTCGATGGCTATCGGAAGACGCTTACCGAAATGAGGGCCCCCCAAAAGGCCTGAATGAGCAGTCGGCCGTGCGCCAGAACTGGAACTCGTCTGCGACGGCGCAGTGCCCGAATCATATCCTCCATTTCTGCCGGTCGCGCCGATACGCTCGACCAGTTTGTCGCCGAGCGCCTCGATGCTCTGGGCAAAGTCATCGTAGCTCTGCGCTGCCCAGTCGGCCCCGTCGGCGCCCGGCACGGCGTCGGATCCCGTAAAGGCAATAAACAAGACGTCGTTGTCGTCGTGGCCGCTGTTGCCGTTCATGTCGTCGCCAAAGCACGCGGTGGCCAGAGAAATCGACGCCTCGCCAACCAAGGCCAGGTCCCCGTCATCGCCGTTCTCGTCGCCCCAGATACCATATATCTGAGAGTCATTGGTGAAAAATCAGCACTTGCTATCGGAAGGTATTAGTGCATGTTGTATGTGAGTAACTCACCAATTTATCACTGCATACCACCGCCATCAGGCTCAATGGCTCGATCCCATGGCTCTGAGGGTCAAAGTTGGTGTATCCAGATTTGGTGCCGACGTTTCCAAATACAACATACGGATGAACATATGGATTGAGATCATTAATCCCCCTTTCATAGCCCGCAACGATTTCCTGAAACGAAGTCTGCGATTGCGTGTCGGCCGAGTATCCACAGCGCCCGTCGTTACCGGGACCGTGTTGCTTGCCATCGCAATCAATGTCCATGTTTGTAAACTGGCCGTTGGTGCCTTGGATATAAATGATGCCATCCATGTCGAGATGGTCGCCGCAGTATGTCCATGCTGCGGTGTTTATTTACGTTAGAGTTGCCAGGGAAATGGTTGTGCTCGTCCCCTCGTCTTACATATTGCCAATAGAGAAGAATACTTACAATTGGCCCCATCGCTGGTGCTATAGAAGCCCGAGGCAAGACTGTCGCTGCACTTTCCTGTCGACTTGATCTCATCATAGAGGCTCTTGACGTTACTGGGAACGTCTCGAGCGAGTGTCGTCCAGGCCAGCAGGCTAGATATGAGCAGGGCTAGCTTGATCATGATGAAGCGGCGTGTGTAGGACGCCATAAAGTGTACCGCTTAAGCAGTGAAACGGTATAAAATTTCAGATTAGAAGCATTAAATATCCCCATAGTATTGATATTGGCAAGGCAGTGCTGGAAGGGGCCGTTAATCACGAACAGAGAAATATACAGAGTAGCAACTCGCTATTATGGACGGCACATAATGCTGAGAGAATAACTCATAGTACTACCACAACCAGAGAATTCGGGACGAATTTAGATTGATATTATATCAAGGGTCGTGAAAGTTTTGTTATGAGAACATTGTGGACGAAGTTGTTCATTTAGCCGCTGCGATTATTGTGAGAGCTAAAGAAACCGCGGATTTCCAAGTCTTTTAATCCGTAAAGGCTCTTTCATGATCTGAGCTCAGCTCTACGGGGCGGTCTGACTGTCGGCCGCTGCGTTCCTATTGGATGTTCCACCATTTCGCTGGGCGACGAATACGAAGCTGACTGTTGCCAAGGAGCCAGGCCACTTGCGATGCCGTGTGACCCTGCCAAAATTGCGTGTGGCCTTCGTTGCTAGAAACATCTAGTCAAATCAGTGGCATTCTTGCTCGCTCTCGGGACTCGGCAGCGACGGCTGAAATTCATCAACCCACCAGCCTCTGCAATGTCATGATAAAGCAGAGAATTCTTCATTGTGATAATGGACAACTGTTGGCATCGCTATGCCCTTTCACCCTTACAAGGGCAAGGCAACTTTCAAGATAGCCTCAGGACTTGGGCTCACGGAGCGAGATGCACATTATAACGACATTATGTAGTACTTCTCAATTTAAAGTAAGGCGATATAACCCGGCAAAGTATCAAAACATTTTTATAGAAGGACCCGGCTTGGACGTCCCAGACATGGGTCCAAAGATGCCCTGAAATTGAATTACTACTTCCAGTCTTTCCGAGTCTTCAAATATAAAATATGGAATTCCTGCAAGCCAAAAGCCAAGGAGTGCTTGTTTTTAATTGTATACCTCATAGTATACCGCTAAATATACACACAAAACTTTTTTATTGATTGGTATAATGCCCAAAACGCCTGACCCACGCCACAAGTGGATTATGCACTGGCCTTGCCACGTCCAGAGCGCTTCTTGCGCTTCTTGGACTTGCCGTCAATAATATTCGACTCCTCGTCAGGAGCAGATTTTCCTTCATCGCCGCCCTGAGCACCTCCAAACACAAATGCCGGTCCTTCCCTTTCGGCATCAGGTCCAAATGTATCCTTGCGCCATTGTCGTAGACGTGCCTTCTTGCCTAACCTCTTCTTATCCTTGGCCTTCTTGTCCGCTGGCCGGAAGTGTGCCAGCTTCTTCAGACCCACGTACTCATTCAGTGCCGCATCTGAGGGGGCCATGAGAATGTCCTTGGCTGTCAAGCCATACGACTCTGCCCAAGTGTCCCGGTAAGCAAACTTGGGACCTTCAGACTTGGAAGAGCTGGATCCAACGAGGGGATCATCAATATCCATCTTGGCATCAACCAGAGCCTCGATCTTGGACCGCTCTTTCCGTGCTTCCTTTTGACTCGCGAGCTTTTCTCGCTTCCGATCCTTGGTTGTCTTCTGGCGTTTCCGGGCCGGGCCATCCTCGTCCTCCCCATCTTCCTCGGCATCATCTGCCTCATCGGCTTCCTCCACGTCGGAAAGAGCAACATCTGGACGCTCGTCATCTTCGAAATCAGGCACGAGATCTTTGATATCAATATCATCGTCCCATTTAGGTTTCTTGACCTTGTGCTTCTTCTGATCCTCGTCATCAGAGCCACCTTCGCCCTCGGCGTAGTACTCGTCACCGAATTTCTCGGCCATCTCTTGCTCCCACTTGTCGTTGTCCCAAGCACCATCGAGCAGCTTCATCCATTCGTCCTCGTCGACCTTCTTGCCAGCGAAACCCGCAGCCTTCTTGATCTGCTTGAGCTTGCTCTCAGCCTCCTCAATCTTGAGGTTGCGCAGACGATTTCGCTGTTCTCGGCGCTCCTGCTTTTCGGCCTCCTTTTGTTCGCGCTCTTCCTCACGCTTCTTCTTTCTGCCAGTCTTCTCCTCTCGGCGAACAGACTTGGCAGCAGCCACATCTCTGGCATAGGACTTGAGGACTTCGTTGCTCTTACTTGGATCCTCAAAGCGTAGGTTGTAGGCAGCCTCCCAGTCATCAGCTTTGTCTTCTTCGTCCTCGTCGTCCGAGTCGAAAGCTTGCCAGTTGTTGTTCTCGGGTTCAATCCAGGCACGGGCGGCCATGAAGTTAGATAAGTAGAGCTGGGGATCCTTGTCGGCGTTGGCAACATCATTCGCGGTAAGGGGTTTGGCGGCCTTGCCCTTGGTAGCCTTGACCTTGGCAGCTCGGGAAGGGTGCATTCCATCTGCGAGTTCCGACTTGATGCGCTCTGCTTCGCCAGACTTGGGCTTCAAGAAGTCCTCATCCTCCTCTTCTTCCTTCTCTTCTCCATTAAGTTGTGCCTGAATTTCACCAAGAATCGAGTTCTTCAGGTTGCTCTGTTCCTGGGCATACGTGTTCGATGTCCCTTCCTCTTCATCTGCCCCGGTGTCTCCTGCTAGAATCCTCTCGCGATGGTAGTCGCGCAGTGTCACTGGCTTATCTTTTTTTTCTTTGGGCTGAGGCGCGGTAGCGCTGTCATCAATTGGTGAGTAGAAAGTTGTCTTCGGGTCGTAAATACGAGGGTCCTTCTTGCGGAGAGCCTCGAGAGTGGCGTTGAGTTGCGCATCGAGTTCTTCCGTAGCTAGGTAACCGTCCTCGTCTTCGGTTTCATCGTCAGAGGAATCATCGTCATCTTCGTCCCCGCCAGCCTGGCCTTTGCCAAATTTCTCCTCTAGTCTATGACGTTCTTCTCTCTTCTTGTTGTGTTCGAAGCGCTTGGCATATTCGTCGTTGATCTTGATCTGGGCGCCACCTTCGGATTCATCCTCGCTGTCGTCGAACAAGATCTTCTTGTCCTTGGGCGCCATGATGGGCGTTGGGCCGCCAACAATAGAGGTAAATGTGGTATTGATATTCCAGTAAAGTAGACAGGTTTGTCGCAGTCTAGTGAAGAGTCACAACACTGTACCCTTCTTGGTTCTTGAGAGGACGTGGCACTTTGTTCAAAAATGCACAAGGTGGTTTCCTTTGCGATCAGCACAGCTCAAGACGCTGTACAAACTCTAGTCTAGCTTTGGAACTTTTTTTTTTACTGCCACCGGTGGGGCTATCTGATACCTAAGGTGGCTCTTGCCAACAAAGGCTGGGCGGTGAGAACACGGTGCCAAGATGTTCCGCCACTGTCCCGCACTAGAGCCAAACTGGGAGCTAGTGCCGATTCGTCGTTGCACTGCCCAAAGGTGCCGTCCGCCACGGTCCCGTGCTGTCCGTGGCAAGCGCCTGTCTGGTGGGTATCAGTTGGCCGGCCGCCTCTTTCGCAGCGTCGTCATGCTACTGAAGCTCACAATCTCTCTGCCTACCACTCACTACGTACATCCACTCTATACCCCGGGGCATCAACTCGACATTTAATCTGCGTCGCAAGCGTATGCCACAGCTTCCCTACTAGAAACCTCTCGATAACAGATTTACTACAATCAAAATCGCAAGACCATGGCCGAAGCTCCAAAGCCGAGTAGCAGCGTCAAGCTGGTTCTTCTGGGAGAGGCAGCCGTTGGAAAGGTTTGTACATTTCAATACATCAAGGCAGCCAGGCGGCCATTTGTATGCTGACCACAAGTAATGTAGTCGTCTCTTGTATTGCGCTTCGTCAACAATGATTTTCAGGAAAACAAGGAGCCCACAATCGGAGGTCAGTCCATCGCTCAGTCACCGTCCTCACGAAAATGTTAGTTGGACTAACGCGCAAGCCATTTGCAGCCGCATTCTTGACACAAAAATGCAACCTTCCCACGCGGACGATCAAGTTTGAAATTTGGGATACAGCAGGACAGGAGCGCTTCGCCTCGCTAGCTCCCATGTATTACCGCAACGCACAAGCTGCTCTTGTTGTCTACGATCTTACCAAGCCTACTTCGCTCGTCAAGGCCAAGCACTGGGTCGCCGAGCTACAGCGACAAGCCTCGCCTGGTATTGTCATCGCACTCGTTGGAAACAAGCTCGATTTGACGAGCGAAAGCGCCGATGCAGAGAGTGAGGAGTCTGGTGATGCCAGAAAAGTGTCAACAGAAGAGGCTCAGACATATGCCGAGGAGGAAAACCTGCTGTTCTTCGAAACGAGTGCCAAGACTGGACACAATGTGTCAGAGGTCTTCACAGCCATTGCAAACGCCATTCCAGAGACTTCTTTGAAGAGCACAAGAGGACCAGGAGCAGCGAATGCTGTAAGCCGAGGTGGCGAGGAGCAAAGAGTGAATCTCAATGGCCCAAGAGAAGCCGTCAAGGAAGGTTGCGCATGTTAGTGGAAGGCAGCGGGCGCATTTTGTTTTCCGAGGACACAGTTGATGTCGGGAGTAGTAATATTTTCACAAGGGCCATATGTATTCATGTCTGAGAAGCCCCAAGATATTCTAGTAGTAGAGGAAAGATGCAGGTGCTATGGTGTCACAAAATTCTCCTCCGGGTCGGGGTCATACTGAGAGTACCTGATAAATTTATTAAGAATTACAAACATGGTAGCAACTTGCGCAAGTCGCTATATGCATTGATATACACCAGTGAAGTGACGATGCCGCTGATATGACCGAACTTTTGGCCAATACCGGATTATATGCTTATCTGTCTGATAGCTAGGAGTCCCTGGAAGTATAGATGATGTCGTATTGGTAAAGCAACCATCACATATCAAGTTTGAGTAAATTCTTTTGGCCCGGATCCAAGGTGGGTTAGGATTTGTTTCAGGTGAGAAGAATGACCTTGAACTGCAGGAAGGTCAAGATGTGTGCGAGTTACATCTTACAATGTCAAGCAAGGAATGCATAGGCTGGGATGCTCGCGGCTCAAGCCTGAGGATGATACAAGCTCGATTCGATTTACCCCAAGTCGCTAATTGTATAAGAAGATCTTGGAGCTCTGCACTACTAGATGTGCTTTATAAGGTTGTTGGTGCTCCAAGACAAGGGGCAACCAATGTCTCGCTCAAGTCGTGGCTTGGAAGGCTATCAGGTACAGAGTATGTAGAGCAAGAAAAAGAACTCCACCGTTGCTCATCAACGGCTCAGGGGTAAAAGAAGCGTGACAGGTATCTGTAATCTGCAGATCGCGACAGCACAGCAGTTTTGCTTCTAGCTGAGGAGTAAAGTGTAAGGTACCTGAGAGCTGCCCAGGCTGTCCCGACAAGGCCGCCCCAAGATGTGGTCCCTGTTGCCAATCCAGCCCACTGAACGTCCACTGAATGGCTCTGCACTGGAGCGATTTGGGTTGACTGCCCCACCTAAACAGCGCCGAGTCCCGTAACCCCATTAGCGACATTTAGATTGAGGTCAATTGCTTCTGGGGTACATCGCAAAAGAGACAGCTTTACAATTCTTGAGTGATTGACAAAGGGAACGCAGAGAACAGTTTCTCTCCCAACGCTGCTCCCTCCCCATTCGCTTTCCAGCCAGCCCGGGACGGACCGACGACGACGACACTGGGATAAACGTGGCATAACCAAAGCACCGAGTTGCATTGAGCTGTGCCGGACGGCCATGACAGAATACTCCCTTCGCTCAGCATTGCATGTCGAGATCCGCTAGCTGAGGCCGCCCGCCTCTATGATACCCCGTTCTGCCGACTGTGACGACAATTCGCTATGTCGTGGGACTTGCTGCAGAGGTTCCTCGAGAGTGATGTCTTCAACCAGAACCCTTTCCTCTCGGTCTCGTATCTATCGTGAGTCTTGCTTCTCTCCAGATCTCCCTCCGTCTGTAGGCCCTGGACAGCCCCTGATCTAAAGCTGCCATAGACGATACGCGGACCACGTCGGCATCCACTATGTGCTCTGCTCGAAACTCCGCCAGTTTCCGTACGAGGACATTGAGTTCTTCCTGCCGCAGCTATGCCACCTCATATTGAGCATTGACAATGAATCCATGGCATTGGAGGAGTTCTTGTTGGACCTGTGCGAGGAATCCGTCACCGCCGCTCTTTTGGTGAGCACTTCACGCGCCCTCAGAAACGCAGGACGTGCATGCTGATGAATATACAGACCTTTTGGCTGTTCCAAACATACCTTCACGATCTGGCATCCACGCCACAGGCACAAGCATTCAAGACATGTAGGAGGGTGTACAACAAAGTCCAACACATTGTGTTTGGGCTGTCAGACTCGGCGCGTAGCGAGAAGATTAAAGAGAATATCCTTCCGGTGACAGTCCTAGCCAGCTTCGTTCTAGGAAGTATAGGCGTCCCACTGCTACCACAATGGGCCGGTCCATTGGCTGTTGCGCAGGCTCGAAGAGATACACCAACGGAAGGCGATGTCATATCCGAAGCGAGCCAGGCGGTGAAGATCACGAGGAGTCAGACTGTATCCCCGCAGACCACGAGATCCAAACGGCGCGACACGAATCGGGTGCCCAGCACACCCATCACTTCTCAAGAGGCCAAGGTTTTGAAAGAGCAGCAGCAGCAGTCGCCAGAATCACCGCGTGTCACATTATCACGCCCGCCATCTTCCGGGTCCCCGAAAGCAGCAACCGAAAAGCCACGGAAACCCGACTTTATAGATAGTAAGATATTGGACGCACGGCTTAGTTCTTCGTCTCTTCCCTTACCAGATGTACGGTCCCCGAAGACAGGCACGCGCCCCGCCACGCCCATCTCTGCCGGACTACCTCGACCTGGCGAAAGCCTTTCGCGTCGCCACTCCCACCATATCAAGACCTTGATGACTCAAGCGGAAATGAGCTCAGTGCAGAAGGGCAAGCTGCTACGACAAAATTACTTTCGCTGCCAAACAGCCTTTTTGACAGCACTGGAGGGTATATCGAATCGTCTGGTGATTGTACCCAAGCAAGCACGTCTTAGTGCTTTGCGGGCTGAACTTGCGCTCATTACTAGAGACCTGCCAGCGGAAATCGATATTCCAATCATCTGCCCGCCTACGTTGGTCGGGGGTTCTCCGTCCAAGAGTCGACACCATCGCATTGTAAGAGTGAATCCGGGCGAGAGCACAGTCCTAAACAGTGCGGAAAAGGTGCCATATCTGCTCATGGTAGAGATTCTTCGGGATGACTTCACGTTTGATCCGGAATCCCCCGACAACCAACGGCTTATTACCACGCTTCTGGTGGAACAAGGAAGCCGTAAACGGTTATTTGATTTGTCCGACGCCCCGCGAACATCAACCAGCGATCGGGCTCTCGATTCAAGCTCAGAAAAGGTGGACAGTGTTTTTGAGCCAAGCTCAGGCGACCTTGGTAGCTCGCCCATGGTCAAACCCATCGATGATGAAACTGCAAACAAGAAGAATGGCAAACTGCCGGCCAAACCTCACCGGGTACCAAGCGGCACGACAACACTCTCCAACTTGTCCGAGTTGACTCTGACAACCCCGCGAACGTCTGCGACTTCGACATCGAGGTCGAGTAGTCCGGGTGGGTTGAGACGAATGACCTTGACCAACCCAAGGAACAATTCCGTGGAGCAGCCAGATTTTGGAGCATTAGCAACGCATATGCGAACGGCTTCGCAGATGCTAGCGCAGTTGGAAGCTACGAGTGGTAAACGACCTAAGCACGAGGTTGCATCTATCAGAGCCAAGATCATTGCAAGCATGCAAAATCTGGAGGAGCAAAACTTTGATGTCAATGATGCCCAGGGGCCTACGTTTGATATGATTATTGCGCGCACAAGCGTTGCGAACGCAGCTGCCGAGGTTGCGGCGGATATTGAACAGGAGCTAGAACCCGGCTTGAATGAGAGCGCAGGTCAGGCTCGTATGGAGAATGATGCAATGACGGGTGGTGTCAGGCGGAAAGGAGACCGCGACGATCCCAGCGCAGCAGTTTTTGGTGAAGCTTGGGAACAGAAGAAGGAGCGCATTCGAAAATCCTCGCCGTACGGGTGGATGAAGAATTGGGATCTAATCAGCGTAATTGTCAAGACAGGGGCAGACTTGAGACAAGAGGCTTTCGCATGCCAGCTGATCCAGGTCTGCGACAAGATTTGGATAGATGCAGGTGTACCAGTCTGGGTGAAACTCATGCGGATATTGGTCACTGGCGAGTCATCGGGTTTGATCGAGACCATCACGAATGGCGTGTCGCTTCACTCCTTGAAGAGGAGTTTGACACTTGCGTCAATCGAGTCTGGACAAAACCCCAGACGTCGCATCGCCACTTTGAAAGATCACTTTGTCAAAACGTTTGGCGCTGTTGATAGCGAGCCATATAAGGCCGCCGTGGACGCTTTCAAGCGCTCACTTGCCGCCTATAGCATGATCTCGTATATTCTCCAGCTCAAGGATCGACACAATGGCAATGTCCTTATCGACAATGAAGGGCACATCGTGCACATTGACTTTGGCTTCATGTTGTCCAATTCTCCCGGCTCAGTCGGGTTCGAAGCGGCGCCTTTTAAATTTACATACGAATATCTCGACGTGCTTGGAGGTGTAGGATCACCTGATTATGAGGATTTCAAGAAACTCTGCAAGCAGGCATTCCAAGGTAAGTGATTGCATAGCAGTCCAGATTTGCCAGTAGAGAAACTAACAAAGCGCAAAGCTCTACGACGATCTGCGGACAACATCATCGATCTCGTTAGCATGATGGGCCGTGATTCCAAGATGCCGTGCTTCGCTGTCGGAATCACCACGGTAACCGCAACCTTGAGACAACGTTTCCAGCTTCATCTCAGTGCCGAGGAGGCCGAGAATTTTGTCGAGACGGATCTGGTTGCCAAGTCCTTGGGTAGTTACTACACACGACTGTAAGTCGGCTCGTACCAAGTCACCTTTCTGCGACAGCTATACTGACCTTGATAGTTATGATACTTTCCAATACCGTACGCAGGGTATATACTAGGCCCCAGCAAAACCTACAATAGCAAATCGGTCATATTACGTGGATCTGGTCTTGAAGAAGAGGGGAATGCATTGAAACAGAAACAAGCATCTGGGCGGCGTTGGAGGTAAAACAGACGTATATAGACTTGCGATGGCAGGTGCTGACATAGGATAGCCTCATTGGGAAGAGGGCAAGGTGCGCTCCGTGGCGAGTCAGTAGTGGTAGAAAGCCAAACAGCCATAGATCAGGGCTGCGCAAAATCTGTGGTGATATGGGAGGCACCGCTCCCCTCGGTCGTAGTGTGCCATATACATGCATGAAGAATATATGGGTTCTATCAACTACACAAGAACTTGTCTAGCCGCTTAGTCGCAATCTGCGTTTGGAGACCATTGACGCGCTCTCTCAATGAGAACATGTATGCTCTGGCAATGCTTGGGCAGCCGAAGTCAGACCATTTACAGTCATGATTGGTTGAGAGGGTAATTTATTTTGTCAGCAATACAGCGGAATGCACCCTTAACTCCAAGTCTCAGCTCCCAGTAAACCTTGTGAGAGGAGACTTAACATGACCCTTGAACCCAAAGTCATCGTGTGAGGCCGTCTAGTAACGTAGCCCTGATCATATCGTCTATATACCTAGTAGTACATTATTTCAATTCCCTCAATTGTCAAGTCCTGGTATCATGCCCATCATTGTCTTCGAAACTCTATATTCGTCCGTGAATTTCACGCCCCGCCCGAGCCTAAATACACACAGTATGGTGTATCGTAAAATTATACACATGAGAGGAGAAAATTCATCAAGCAAACCCTGGCACATTCTTTAACCAGGGTTCGCGTTGGCACCAGCACTACTGCCGTTGCCGTTGCCATCATCACGGAGCAGTGATGGATTCAAAACGCCAGGGAAACTCGTCGGCATATTGAGGCCGACGGACGAGGCAATGGCATTCCAATCCAGGCCACTGGTCGATCCAGCCATGGGCCAACTATCCATGGCTGCGTTTTTACCAGCGTTGGCGAGATTCGACGTGTTGGAAAACTGCGCATACATGCATACGCCAGCATTATCCAAGCCCGGTCGGCCGATTTGTGGAATATTGGGGGTGGCAGCAGCAGCGTTTTGCGCATTGGCTCCGGTACCGAAGCCGACGCCCCCGACTGCTGCTGAGGGTGAGATTCCGGGATGCGGCGACGACGTTGCAGCAGCCGGCGATCCCGTCCGGACGGGAAGCGTATTCGTGATGGTGCGCGCCAGCCCCGCCCAGGGCGTCTTGTCAAACGATGCAAAAGAGTTATTTGGCCTACCACCGCCCTGCTGGGCTTGGGGCAAAGGAGCAGATTCCGACGTAGTCGAGGCCGAGGACGGCGTCATGTCGCTGCTGCTACTGTTGTTGTGTCCCCAGAGGTCGTGGTGGCCATCGGACGGGCCGCTACCGCTGGTACTGGCGCTGGCACCCGAGTCGTCTGACGGCGCGCTCCTCTTCCTCTTGTTGGCGGTGGTCTCGTCTGCATTCGTGTTGTTGGTGGCCTGGCAGCCATCCTTGATTTTGTAGCCAAAGCCAATACCGCATTCGGTCATCTTGTAAGCATTCAAGTTGCCCTGCGGGTTTCCCAGCGGCAGGCGGCCCGGCAGAGGTGGCTGCGGCTTGGAATGACTTGAGAATTGCGAACGAGTGAGGAGGGGTACTGGAAGGGAGTCAGTATGAAGGCACTTGTGGTGTGCCACGCCAATATATTTTGTGCGAAAATTGCTTGACCAAGGCATAGCTGAAGGACTAGAATACTGATAGAAACTTACTATTGTGGTTACCAATAGCAATGATGTCGGGCAGATGATCAAGCTTTGGCACACGTGTGATGTGTGTAATATTGTTTCGTTCGAGATCCAAAAGAAGTTGCTTCAGGAATGCCCTAGTGATGACGTGCTCGCGACCAATTGCATCCATGGCAGAGATGATGAAATCCAGATTATCGATCCTCTGAGGAGTTGGTGCATCTTTGCACTGGTAAATGAATACCATGGCTGCACAGTAGAGTGATATGGCGGCCATTGGGCTTCGCTATATGTTGTGTTAGGTCCGCAGGAACCAGATTAGACAGCAAGACACGCGCAGTAGACTTACGGGATTTGTCTTCATATGGCTCGTCATCTTGACAATATTGACAATCTCTTGCGCAGCGGTAAAGAGGCGAGTCTCACTGGCCCTTTTCGCGAAAATCGGTATCTGATACTTTTCAATCTTTTCTAGGGCCGCGAGATGTAGACAGATTAACGCGGCGTGGTAGTTGAGGTTTGTGTGAACGGCGGTAGGGTCTCCATAGTTTTCAGGCAGTCGAAAATGCTCCGGCAAGAACATGAAGGCACTGGAAATTGCATTGTCAATCTCTCGGTGCCGCTTCCAATACTCGCCGTACTCGTGGTTTTGCGGGTCGTCGTCTGGTTTGGGCCGGTGAACATGCTTGAGGATCATGTTGAAAAGATGACAGACGAGAATAGCCCCAGCAAAAGAAGAATATGATGAGCCCTTGAATGCGTCCTCTAGCGTGCACGTAGTCACGGGTTCGCCACTGAAAAAAGCAGTTTCTGAAGACGGAAGATGGGTAGTGACCTAGAATAGTAAGAGGGCTTTAGCCGTTTTGATTGGACACATTCTCATTTGGGGGTCATACCTCGCTGGGATCAACCAGGTGCGGCCAGCCAGTAGATATTGCGCAGTGGCTGTCAAGGCAGAAGATACCCCAGAATGTTCTCCTACGCTCCTCCAGCTCAGCCCAGTCCTTGGGCGGCATCAAAGTCGGCGATGAAACATCATTTGGGGTGTCTAGATGGTGAAGTCCCAACATGTTGGCGAGTCGGACGGCTCGAGCCGAACTCATGGCCGCTCGTGTGAACAACATTGACTTGGCCTCATCAGTCGTGATGAGACTCCACGCCTGCGCATGATGGACAGTAATGAAGTGCTCGCCATGGCCCTGTGATTCCAGTTTGAGAAACGTTTCCGAGGTGAGACAGAGTTAGATACAACAAACCTTGAGTTCATCGGCTTCGGCATATTGACGTGCACGCTGATAAAAGACGTCATGAAGGTGGCCATATTTTGGGTGGCCATTGGATGCTAAAGCCCATATGGCATATTGAAGACACATTGGCGGTTTCATGTGTGGTGCTGAGTAATATGCCTGCATATACCGAGCTGGATGTATCACTGGAATGAAATGTTGTTGACGTTGAAAGAAGATCTGGTTTCTGGCAAATAAAGTCAGCTACAACAATGAAACGCCAAAGAAAGCCTCGAAATACTTGCAGTTCTTCAGTGACTTCGAAAGGGGGAAGCGCTTCAAACATTCCCAATCCTAGAAGCTCTCCACTAAAGGCATCGCCCGTCGGTTGTGATGCACCTGCAGAGGCAGCAAGAGGCACCGAGGGATCATTCTGAGATTGCAGGAACGAATCGCCTTCTACGGGACCTGACGGGAAGGTATAGTCCATGCCCTGGAGGAAGACATCTTCTGTTGATGGGACAAAGTCGGAAAAATCAAAATTCAGAGTATTGTCTACCTGCTCGTCGCTCGACGATCCCTTATCCCCGCCGCCATTCTGCTTGAGCAGTCCCTCGACTTGAGCTATACATGTCATAAAGATAATTAGCCATGACGGCGTCTACATTCATCAAAGAGCGACACAGTCATACCAAGACGAGCTTCGAGCTCTCTCACGTTTCGGCGTTTGAAGGCTGGTTTCCTTCGAGATTCAGGATAGACGCACTCGCCCTTGATCCTCGAGCAACGCCCGCAGGCCGGCTTCACGCGATCACACTTGAGCTTACGGTTACGACACGACGTGCAGGCTCTAAATTTGATACACATACGCCATTAGCACACGTGAGCGGCCCTGCTGTAGCACCGGCGATCAACTCACAATTCGTGCGATGCCTCGGCGGAGGCGTCACTGGGGGTCATGGTGGGAAGCAGACAGGACGGGGCTAATAACTCAAGAGGCAAGTAGGGGCTCAAGTCTTGTGCTGGTGTCCGAAGGAACCACCTGCGGCATCGCTGGCGCAGCACGCGCGCACACACAGTGTTATCGTATCGGGTGCGTTGATGTTATCACGCCGATACAGGCTGTCAAAATTGACTCCAGGGCTGTCACGTCAGTTTCAAAGCCTTGCGGCTCTTTGGATCAAGGTGGCCTTCTCGAAACCACCCAAAGGCCTTGAACCCGGCGCCGGGGATTGGCAGTGTCCGAACCGAAGACCGTCATGTAGGCTCCAGTTTAGTCGGCGTGGCTAGTCTCGGGCGGCCTGACGTTGCTCCGAATGCCGAAAACTACTGGCAATGGGGAACCTTCGAACCGAGACCCGACTTATTGTCGGCCTAGTTAATGTACCTCGCAAGAAAAAGCCGAGTTCAAATTCCCTTCACAAAACACTAGGGGAGCGGCTGAACCATTCCTTTGGGAATTGATTGCCTTTACAGCCGTGAGACAACCTCACCTACAACGTTCCTTGTGCCTGACGGTATTACTACTGCCGCTCAGACCTCTATAACCGACTATACGATATCAAGTATTATGAACTACTTTTCTGGGCTCGGTATCACTACAAATCCCATGAGCCAAATCACTACGGGAACTTTCTACAAGGCATGACTGGGCCAGCCATTCCGCAATTGACCACAGAGGACCTCTGGCGGCTATGGAGCCAGGGATTAAGCGAGTGCGGAAAAATCACACTTCGATGATTGACCCATCAAATGACTTGCGCACCAAGCGACCTCCCTGTCTACCACTTGCAACATATACAAGCTACAAGTGCTAATTACCTATTGCATGCTCATACAACTATCTCGGCACACAAACATTCCCCGGTAACTGCCCGGGCAGAATGCTCAAGAGAACGTCATCTCTAGTGTCCGACCCGGAAGGCGAGACAAGTGACCAGCCCTGCGCTCTCGTCCCTGATCACGTCGTTTCCTTTGTCGCAGAGTGACACGGAATGTCTCAGTCGACCCTGATTGCTAGTCATGTCGTGTCAATCTCACGGACGTCTTGACGTAATATCCAGGAGCAGCCACAAACGTTTGCGAAGCGAACAAGAGCAAGATGCTAGGCGTACCGACGTTGAGGTACAACCGTGTCTCTCATCTGTGGCTTTCTCATGTCTCAGTCTAGTGTGAGCCACATCCAGATTGTCGGGAGAGACAAATGTCTAGGTAGGGACAAATTGCCGATGGCCGTCCGGTGTCGACCGGTCTGCGGCTATGATGAAGGTGACTGACTTCTCGTGCTTGACCAGCACTTTCTGAGTGGAAAGTGACGTGATTTTTTCCGTCAATCTGCTCATGGCGATGGAGGCGTGCGACTACTATATGAAACATCCAAGCTGAGTTCCACGAGTAATTCAAGCCAACGGTACAGGCGCCGAGAGCTTGACCGTGCCAATAGGACGATCGGTACTTGCACCTGCCGTACCTTGAAAACTGGTACCCTAGAGCAAGCTATTTGATGACAGGCCTCGTGGACTCGAGACGACGTACTGGTGGCAAGTGGGTATTTTCAGCAGCGAAGTTTCATTTGGATACAGCAGTAGACAGGGCAGTACGTCCACATCGTGCCAAAGTCAAAAAAGCCCTAGCACCAAACTATTAGAGAGGGCTTGCAGATCTTTACGGGACGATTACTCAGCTGTTTAGCGAGATGTCATTGCGCTACAGACTGCCGAAATAGTCAAACGAGCTCGTCCACTCACGCACTCTCATCACTCCCAAAGACACCAGACACCAGTTGAATGGGATCCGGATCGGCCACTATCAAACCTTGTCACCCGTCCAACGATCCGACGGCCAGGCCGCGGCTTTCAACAGACTTTGGAGCTAGTAGCATGCGGGTTTGACGCGTTGACTGACAGGACCGCCGCGCAAACTCTAAAAAGTTCCGCTCGAGCACTGGCCTACATACACTGGTCTCCTTTTATAGCTCAGAAACCTCTCCTTGGCCGTGGTTGGATCGAATTGGATACGCATGGAGAACCAAGACTTCTGACATGCATCCTCTCTGTATGCTATTGGATACCAGGGGCTGAAAGGAGAGATGTGGCTGTCTGTCAGCTTGGAAAGTCGTCCATACCATCAGCTCAAGCCCATTATTGCCCACTGCCAGCAGGAAATGCTTACAACAAAGCAGCACCTGGCCAGCAAACGAGTAAGCCTCGGTAGCTGTCATAGCTTCGATTTCTCTAGTTTGATTCGGTCGTCACAGCCGGAATAGTGGCGTGTTGGCGCAGCTGCTATAATAGGTAGCCTCGGTACTGTTGTGCTGTCGAAGCTCCGTGATTCCGGTTGTACCGTTTTCCTTTGTGAGGGCTTGCAAAACTTTGCCTAAAGATTCTCGCATAGCTACCTCGCTTGCAGTATGTCAGCTCTTGATCAGTAATTTGAGCCTATTCAAACTTACAACTCCTCTAGTTTTACTACATTCTAGGGCTGTCAATCTATTTCAGATCAGATGGGAGAACGGGCAGGTTGGATTTGACAGGATAACAAGCCTAAACAAATCTTCAAGCCAGGTGCGATAGTATGCGCGACCCGAGAGAGCCAATTGTACTTCAAGGGACTATGTGAGAAGAAGGCCAGCCCAACCTACAAACGATGTCATCTTTCGTCATGACAGAAACGTACCCTATTTTTCCGTTGCCATAAGAGGAAGCCGTACGGTTATTCCTTGGTGCAGCTACTATGTACATTATCTAGCCGAGATCATGTACTCCACCGTCGGTTATAGTCGAGTTACTTGCAGAGAAGTCCTCTTCAGGTATCGACTCTTAGTTACCTCTTCGGGACAACCTTTTCTTGACCGTTTATTTTTCAACCCCCCTTTCCCTCTGTATGTCTCGAAACCTTGCGTCAGTCCAATTCATTTCAGCCCTGTACAACTTTTGCTTTCATGAGGGGAATGAAAGCCCGTCAGGGTCCTTCTACACGTGAGGTTAAGACAGGATGTTTCTATACTCTCAAGTGAGACATGTTCTCGAACGCTTCAGAAATACCAAAATGTCTGGGCTCGTTGAACTTTATTTCCTTGGAGGAAACGTATGATGACAATCTACAAGCAAAGGTCCAGTTTTTCTTTTCGAATCGGTTTCATCTTTCCCCTCTTAATGCCCCTGGGGAGGGCGGATGCGGTCGTCATGAGAGACACAATTTTCAAGACTAGGGAAGTTAATTATATGGCCAGGGGTTTCGAAGACATGTCCACCCTTTCCCGGTGACTTGGTAACCGCTCATCGATTCCCACTCCCCAAACTTGCATAATCAAAACCCACCATACCTTAGAGGAGGGGGGGAGAGAGAGTCACGATGACACCCCCCGGGGAAGGGGGAAAAAAAAAAAAAAAAAAAAAGAGGTGGACGCACAACGTTGCGTAATCTCACGCAGCTTTGTAGTACACAGGCCGGTGGGGAGGGATAGTGAACCTTTGGATGTCCACCGGTCGCAGTTCTTTTCCTCCAAAGTATCTTTGCTTTTCACGTTCACCCATCACCCCACTCGTTGCTCTCCGCTCCCTCGGATCCTGCATGAACCCAAAGAATCCAAAAAAGAAATTGTGGCTTGAACCTCGCTTGGACCGGACCGTCAAAACTCTAGTCTATCTGTACCCTGCACAAAACCTCATCTCGATGTGGTCCCCAATTGGGGGGGTTGACATTGTAAACGAAGAGAAAACCCGAATGGGCAATAAAACAACGAATGACTGGGGGTCGCGAATCTGGGCCAGAACTTTATCTTGCCCAACCCTGGGATCTCACACAAGGGGATGGCGGGATCATCCCACCCCCTGGGATTGAGTGAGTGACGGGCAGCCGCCTGACATGGGAGATTCGGTCAGCTCTTGTGGTTGGTGGTCTTGTGTAGTTTGGCCAGTCACAAGATGGGAAATAATCCCCGTCAGATCTCTCTTGAGATTTTAATGTCTTGCAGAAGGCGCCAAGTACCTAGGTAGTCACGTAAGAGCAGATCAGCAATACTAGGTAAGTAGCGTTAGCAAGGAGGAGAAAAGAGTAGTGACAGTAAGTAGTACCGTACTGTTATAAACGTTGTCCGACCCCAGTGTACGCTTCCCGCCTGACATGATGATGGTAGTGGTGGTATAACTTGTATATATGCACTTTGGGTTCATGCAGAGCAAAGACAAGAGCGCGCGTCCATGTCCCCGGACCCGCCACCGTGACCCAGGGGTTTGGGTGCGGATGCAGGGAACAGAAACAAAGAAAGAAGGGAAAAAGAAATCATGAGAGACGTCGCGTAAAGCAAAGTGATGATGCTCTTCGCCAGCGGCAACGAGCATATACCTGAACCCGGGACAGATTCATGTCTTTTTCCCCAAGGGGGAGGGGGCTTGTATGGGAGTTTGTAGATCCGCGCGGAAGCTGCACAAGATGATTGGGTACCCAGAACGGGCAGCTGTGGGTTTTGTTCCACGACACCATTTTGACCCGTGATATATATCAATCATGCAAGGCGTTTTATTGGGAGAGGGAGACAGGATGAGGGGGTCGGTGGTGGGTGATTCTTTGGCGACATAGTTGCTTTGTTCAGTAGTGGAGTGGGATGAATAGATGAAGTCAGATGGGAAGAAGCAAAAACACAGAAACGGATAACCGGGATTTTGTCTTGGGTCGGCGCCTTATTCCCCGTCCCGTGTGTGAAGGGGGAAAAAAACAAAAGAAAAAAGCTTGACCGCGGCAGGAATATATTGGGGGGGTGTAGGTGACTCTGTATATGTGTCCAAGTGTGGTTTATGTGGCCGCTTCCTAGCCAAAGCTGAAATGTATGGTAGATCTGATTATATTAAATTTAATATATCGATCGGGAGCGGGACCCAATGCACAGTCTGCTTACCCATTGGGTCGGGTGGTGACGAATGCATTGGAATGGAGGAGACAAGGGCAGCGCTCTCTTTCTCTCTCTGTTAAAGGAGGGGCAGAGGGGGAAAAAAAAAAAAAAACCATCGTGCCATTCGTTTGTGACAAGAGTTGCAGATGACCTCCCCCGTCACACTCGTACTACTGGACACAAACAACTCACCGCCGAACCCGGGCGAAAGAGGGATTGAAGTTTAGTTGTTGTATAGGGCCAAGTCAACGAAACCGCGTGACCATATCCGGTTGAATACCCATGTACCTGGGCAGATGAGAGGTGGTTTACTGTACTACCAGGGGGGAAATGGAGAAGTAGAAAGAAAATGGTACGCATTTTGGTCACGTTGTGGATAGACAAAGGTAAAAGATGTTTGACTGTAAAGTGATTACATTTGATTCAAGCAGACTGGTAGGTAATACTGCCAGCACACAGTTTGTTAAGGGCGCACCCGAGTCCCCAAGGTAGCAAAAGCCAGAATCCCTTTAGACTCTTTCCCAATACGCCGCCCATCCAAAATCCCCCATAAACTCCAATTTGTGAAAAACACACGCCACAAATTTTCCTCTCTTTGTGATAATACATGGTCCTTTCCATTCAATCTTGAATGGTTGACTTGCCGTTTTTGTGTGAAAGATGCCCGTTCTGGTTTCCTTCCAGTTGCCCAAAAAGTTTTTATATACTGCTCCGTGACGATGCTTGAAGGGAGAAAAAAAAAAAAAACCACCGATGCCAGAACCAAGTCCCAAAGAAGAAGAGGGCAAGTAAAGCGAAAAAAGAACCCGTGAAGGACGCCGCCGTTTGTATACCCTGTAGCAAGAAATCTTTCTTTCAGAAAAAAAAATGGTAAAGATAAGACATGGGTCGAATGAGAAACGCAAGGTTGTCTAAAGCGTAATTTGTGGTGGAAGGGAGGGAAATGTGTCGGTTATTTTTCCCACATCTAAACGCTCCCACGCTTCATGTTGACCGATCTGCGGCGTGAGAGGTGATCCATGTCGACATCGTCGTACGTGCTGCCCTCTCCGTCGCTCAGGGGCACGCTGGCCCGCTTGCCGTCTTGGTCATACTCGGATCGCTCCGTAGAAGGCAAAATCTTGCCGTCCGAGCCACGACTGGCCATGGCCTCGGACTCGGCACGGGCATTGTTCACCATGGTTGGGAGTTGGCGGCGGCGGGCGTTGATGAACCAGTTGGAAATTTGGTCTGTGAATTGACGTGTTAATCAGCGTGTTCTCTTGGTGGGGAGTTTAAAATCACGTCTTCCACATACTCATCTGTAGGCCAGTCTGCCTCATGAGGTCCTGCTTCTCGTCCTCGGTCGGATACGGGTGGTGTAGGTGAGCCACGAACCAAGCACGAAGCTTGTCTGTCGTCTCCTTTGGTAGGTTGCCCCGGCGCTTGCGCTGCTTGTTATCTCCTCCAAGCCCCATGCCAAGCTCCCCAATTCGCATATAAGTCTCCTGGAAGGGGTGTCCATAAGCTCCCGGTGCAAAGGGTGTACGGTCCATTGGGTGTATCGAGCCCAGAGACAGAGATTGCACCCGGGTTGGGTGGTGGTAGGCGTAATCGTAGCTGGGTGCTCGGTATACTGGAGCTGGCACCTCCATGGGTGGAACGGCCATGTGAGGGTGTGGCGGCATTCCTTGTCTTACTGGCTCTTGAACGTATTCGTCACGGGACATACTCCTCATCCTGTTCACGGCTGCGTTCCGCTCAAAGTCCATTGGGGGCAGGCTCGGTAAGCTCAACCGGGGTTCCATCCGCTCACGCATCTCCATGGGTCTCGGTGATGGCACAGAGGACAGTGCCGCAGTCTTCATGTATGGGCTCGACCTCCGTGATGATGGCCACATGTCAGGAGCAGGTCGGGACACTAATGGCGGAGACTGGTGCCGAGAAGCAACTTGTGACGGGCTGGCGTATAGGCGAGGTACTTGGCTCGGTCTTTCTCCGTCCCTCTCATCATCGAAAGAAAGCCTCCTCCTCTTACTCTGCACAGCTGTGTGAATGTACTCTGGGGGAGTTAGTGCTCCAGTCAGTCCAGAAGTTGGCGAAGTGACAGAGGGAGTCCTTGCAGAACCACCCTGCTCTATTCTTTCGCTCAGTTCGGGAAAGGCCTAGCTAGATATTAGCCTCCATGTAGCTTGTATGATGAAAATAGTGTTTCAACCAACCTGACGAATAGAAGGCAGAGCAATCTTCTCGGGCTCATGGCGCGGCCGAGAGAAATCAGTAGAACGGGCTTCTTGCCAGGAGAACTCGCGGTGAAAACCGGTGTGGTGGTGAGGAATAGGCATGGTGAGTGTAGACATTTTGCGTGATCCTGTGGTGCTGGTAGTCTGTTCTATTTGTGCAGCTAGTGCGGACCTATATTCCATAACAAGTATGGAAGAAACTAAAAGTGTCCTCTGGAGGAAAACAAGAGAAGAACAAGTCAGCTCGCTAAGTAGACATGGCCCCTCCATCTAAGTGATACTCACCTCAGCTGGAACGAGAGGGTCCGGCGGCAACAAGGTGTACTAAAGAAATCTATTTTGGAATAATATGTTCGTAGGCCAACATGGACTGTTCGCAGCAAAGATACCAGAGGGTGTTGGGTATGGCTCCTTTGTCCGTCCCTTGCTTGCTCTTTGAATAGTTTTTTTTGATTCCAAGAATGCTCTTGGGTATCGTTGGGGGGTGTTTGCCTGAGCACGGTCTTTCCGGTCTGGGAGTGTCGTCTATATAGGGCTTTGGGGGGAACAAGAAGAAGAGTGGTTTTTTTGTTTTCTTTCTGGAGAGCTGATAAATGGTCGTTTACTCTCGAGGCAATATCGCCAAAAGGTAAGATAGGTAGTGATGGACAAGGTATTTTGTTCGAGGTCAGACGATCCGGGCTAGGATGTGGTTCCGGCTTTCTTTTGTACCAAATCGTGCTGTGACCTTCTCGACCATGGGACTAGACGATGGTGGATCAACAGATACACGCACGGATAGTCTCCTAATGAGGCAATGACAGAGAACTTGGAAACGGCGGAAACATGCAACGCTCGAGGTCGAATTTGAAATATTCGGTATCCGGAAACAGGTGACACAAGCAAAGCCTCAGACGACAAAACGGCCGTGTAAGTGGTCAGGGACGAAGAAGTCTGGACGAATGAATAGTGAACCAGAGGGAACTGGAAACGAAAGAAGCACTTTTGAGCAAGGAGTCTAAATGCTTTTGAGTGATGAGGTTTTTGGAAGGAGAACCTTGGTTCAGCTATGGAGTAAGGGTTGTTTTTTTCTTACTCTTGGGAAACAGATGTAGAAGCTAAACCCCAAAGAGCCCTGAGCAGCGAAAGTAAAGGGAAAAAAAAGAAGTAGAAAGGCAAGGAAGTAAAGTGTAACGAAATGCAACAGTATCGGAAGTATAGATGAAGAGGAAGAAAAGGCAGAAGGATACTTTGGAAAGGTACAAGTTCCCGCACCTCCACAGGCAGGCAGGTCTACTACTCTCTTTTCTCTCTTTCTCTTTACCTTAGCTACCTTGTCTGGGAGGCTGTGGCGTCGTCTTTAGTGGGCTCAAGCAGCGGACTGATGAGACTGCCAGGCCCTGTGGTGGCACTGGGGGAGACTTGCGAGCAGGGACATGGATTGTGGATCTAGAGAGCCAGGCCCGGCGCGAAGGACGACGAGGTTGATGAAGAGGAGCAGGTAGAGAAAAGAGAGTGACACGAATACTAGGTAGAGTGACCAACCAGCAAGCAGGCACAAAGAGAGAGGAAAAAAGAGAGACACTACGGTACGTACCGGAACTCTGGGTAGCATGCATATTACTGCTACTGCTACTAGAGATACATGGCGCCATGTACATTGGTATCGTCGAGCGTAGTAGTAGCAGAGTGTAAAAAAAAAAAAAAAAGTCGAATCGACTAGGGACTAGGGGATGGGTTGCGGACCCCGGACGCAGGACGGTTCTCGCTATGATCCACCTTTAGAGGTCCAGATGAAATTGCCCGATGGAACGGCGAACGCAACTGGGGTCTCCCCTGGGCCGCTAAAGCACAACGCCCACGTCCCATTGCCTATGGAGATGTTTCTGCAGGGCACCTTGACAAAGGCCGGGTCGTCGCCTGCGTTGCACGCCGTCTTCTGGGGCTGCGTATCCTGTACTGTAACTATGTCATGGTATAGGCTGGTAAGCACAATGGCACACACGCACGCTGGGGAGTATTATCCACTGCTGCTGGCATACCATAGACATACAGGGTGGTAGCAATAGTATGGTGATGATGTCGTCGTCTTCTACTATGCCATAGCATGTATAGTGTATAATAACTTTACGAATGCATCTGAGACTGGAATTACTTGTTCAACTCGTTAAAACTAATGGAAATTTGTTTTAATGTTTGCTGCTTAAATTTCATGTATCAGGACCACGTTTTATCGAAAGCCGCTGTATGCAAGTTGTTATTGCTTTTGGGCACGAGGTTCTGTCCCGTCCGGTTCGTTGCCTTTCTCTAATGTGCCCCATTCCCCCCCATGGCGTGAATTCGATGTCGATCCCGCGCGTCGTAAAAAGTGTGCTGCTGACTGACTTACTTTTCATTAATAAACATCTGGCTCCCCCAGACAGACGGACGGCCTGGGCAGGTACGTAGTGAGTAGTAGTAGTAGCCTTTCATCGGCCTCCCTTGCTTTCGGCACAGGATACTATGTACCCATAGGAAGGAATTTGGGGGGTGGGAGAGAGACAGAGAAGGGGGGGCTGGCTCCGCAGCCATGATGATCATCACCGTGCTGTAACAGCAGATGCAAGCTCCCGACCCAAGAGAAGCTTCCCGCGCATGGCTTTTTTTTTTGTCGTTCCCTCGTCGGGAGTACGTAGTTTTCTTTTGACGGTCTTCTCATTTAGACACACTGGTTCAATAATATGACGCAGGAGTGTGGCGGATAAGGTCTTAAATTAGGGAACCGTTCATCTGGGTCGGATAACTTGTTGTTACTGTAGGAAATGCAGAGAGAGCAATAATGGGTTAATTTGGCCGACTATACTTGTAGCACGAAAAGCACTTCAGAACATGAGTCGACGGTACGGGTCTCAGCGAAACAGCTTGGGTTGAATCAATGGGCGATGACCCAAATGCAAGCTAAACTGTCTGTATGTTGGACGCCCCGGGCTACTGGTAACGACCTGTTGCACAAGGTTTTCATAGCTTCTGTGCCGCTGCGGCCAAGCCATGTGCTTTTTCTCTCCTTCGCGCGCTCCAGGGCTCTCTGTTGTTGAGGTCGTATCGCTTGGACAGTTTCGATATCAAAGGAAGACAATCAAATCGGAACCAATCGAGGTGTCAGTATCATGTGGTTTATACTTGAAGCCAGACCCGTTTGAGTAGGCGGGACAAGAGCCATAGCAGGAGGGGAGTATATTTTTGCCTACAAGCAAAAGAATTCATACTCTTTTCAGAGCTCCTCCCCTCCAAGACAACCGGCGACAGCGACGGCGACGGCGAACACGACAGGCCCAATGTAGGTTAGGATATAATGATGATTCACTGCGAGATTTGAAGGGCTGCATATTCCGTGCCCTTCTTGCCTGCAGCATTCATTCTAGTGCTTCTTCTGGATGGATGCCTTTTGGGGGGGAACATTGTCAGCGGGCTGGGAGGAGGGCGAACCTACTTCTTCACCCCTCCAGCGACAGACGCTAAAGCGGTTATGGCATCCGCCACTTTGCGAACCGAAACTCTATTTTGATAATGGAGTTTGTGACTATTTGTAGTGTAGCACCGCACCGAAAGAGTCTGCAGCAATTGGAACAGATTCATTGGTAGATGGCTATTCGTACAGTGGGTAGACAAGTAGGTATACCATTTGTCTGCGGCAATACTTGCTTTCACTGTATCCCCCATCATATGAAAATCATTCTGTAGAGAAGAGAAGGAGGGATACCCACTATTTCCCACACGGAAAACACACACACACACACACCACGGATTTATTGTCCATCCACACCATTACTAGTGGTGGTTGCACCCCTATCAACGGATCGATCGTCTTGTCCGCCAGCCAGCGGGAGCTTGACAGCAAGGTCGTCAAGCCAACGAACCGATAGTCAGAACGAACATACACCTACACAGGAAATGACGAACGGATACAGTGAGCAAAGTAGGTAACCAAACCGGTAGCACAAGACATCGGAATCGCCAGAGCGGCCTGCACTCTCTGCTAGTCCAAACTATGATGGACCGGCCTTCTTTTTATTCTGTTCTTACTGTTACCCAAGTAAGCCGTTGGGGTTTTTTTTTTATTTTTATTTTATTTTTAAATGCCATGTAATCGGTAATGCTGGCCCATGACTTCATCTGTTTATGTTTCACTCTCGGCCTGTGACAAAAAAAAAAAAAAAAAGGCATCCGGTATCCAACCACCGGCTTTTTCTTTCCCTACTGCTGACGCCTGTGCGCAAATCTCGTGCCTGAAGCAAGCTGTCGGAGAGTCAGAACTTTCGAAACTGTCAAGGCCAACAAGAAGCCGAGCGGACAGACCACTGTCACAAGCTGACACCTTGTGTTGAGTGACCCTCACAGCATAGATCGTCGTTGACCTGAAGTCTGTCATATGAGAAGCCATAGCCACCGTCCAATCACACCACCTATCCCTTTGCACAGACAATAATCTGTGGTTGCATGGCAGAGACAGCTTCTGACCTCGGAGCGAATGATAGGCGGCCGGTGGACTTTCTTGGTTCTTTTCAACGTTCAGGGTAGGTAGCTTAGTAGGTACATTCCGAGCACATACACATCCGGTAGCAATGGTAATGCAGTCAATAGAAAACCGCCTAATACAGTAGCTTTGGTGGCTGTTCACCGGTAACGGTGTGTTTCTGCCCCATGACTAATATACTAGTACTATACGTAAATCGCAGTCGTCATTTCACCGAATACTGGCTGAGCTGTATATGGATTTTCCCTTCTCCACAGTCTTTCAACAATAAGGAACCTGGAGCGCCGGTCGAGGTGTCAGAAGGTAGATGCCCAAAAAAAGACAATCTCGTCAATCCATTGATAGGTTGTTTCTACCTACATCTACTACCGCTGCTTGACTTTGCTTACTCGACTAGTAGTGCGCTCGAGTCATGGTGGATGGGCTCGGGTAGGCCAATTATAGGAAGAGGGGTGCTACCGAGGACTCCTTTAGGACATTGCTGTGGTTGCGGAACGAGCTACCTAGCCGCCCATTACCTTATGCTCGGGTCGCTCTAGCTGAGCATCTAGTTTGTTAGTTAGGTTTCGCCATCGTGGAGGCGCTCCAGCCGTTGCTCTTGCTAACGATCCGGAATTCTTCTTTG